AAACGACCGAGCGCCACATCGCCGCATAAATCCTGCTGCGAGAGCTTGTCAAAGCGAGCGAAACATAGCGACAGTCATCCGGCTAGTCAGCTATTGCAGCAATTGCAGCAGCAATCCGAGCCAAGAGCACTAGGCCTTCACCAGGACGACGGTGGCGGGCGCATGGATACAACAAGTGGTACGAGGTCCGCCACTGGCCAACCTCCTCACTCGAGCAGCGTTCTCATGAATCTTCTCGTTTCCGGCTGCGATGTGAGTGCCGGTTACGTCTGTCCCATCGCCAAGTCCAGCCCGAGCTCCTCTAGGAGCATTGCCACCAAATGAGCCCGCCACTCTCTCTCTCTCTCTCTCTTTCTCTCACACACCACTCTCCTCTGTCTGTTTCTCTCTCTCTTTCTCTCTCTCTCTCTTTCTCTCTCGCTCTCTCTCTCTCTATCTATCTTTTTCCTCTGAAAAAAACATACTGCCTGACAACTCGCCTGCCCGCTTTTCTCATTTACTTCTTTTTTTGACCTCTTTCACTTCATCAGCTTTTTTCTCTTCATTATACGCCACTTTTTCCAGCTCGAAACGACACCCGAGTTGGCGTTAGCGAGACACGCATATACGTATGTAAGCCTATTTGATCTCACTTAGCTCGGACTCAAGTTTGTCAAAGCGTCAATTTTTTCCTTGTGAAAACCGCGCAAACAAAGTTAGTACCTGCTATAAATGTGCTCCACCCAATGGGCAACGCCATTGTCCAATACCACATAATCTAGCGTTGTACATTTATATATCCAAGATAAACTCCACCCCCGCCCTAAATTTTCATAAACTATGATGAATACTCCTGCGATTCGTTACTGATTGCTCGCACTGTATCAGAGCTCGTGTAAATAGTCCAGCAAGAAAAATGAAATAAGTATAAATATACAACAGCCGCACCTTACGAATAATGCGATTATCCGAGACCAAGTTTATTGTTAGTGAAACGATCAAGTTCGTGCTCAAATACAAATAAGACTGCCACGTTCATAAATAACGACTCATATTGACGCCACCACGTGAAAATTTTATTTGCAATTGCTCAGTCAAGAACCAGATCCTTTTTTGCGTTATTGTCGATGCACGAGTGAAATCTCGTTTTCTAAAGCTATAAATATTTTTATAAATATTGCAGATATAAAGAGAACATATTCGTACAGAGAGACATGTGAAAAATGATAATTTATATGAAAGTGTTGAATTGATCGTTACTTTGAAATATATCATGTGCAAAAATCATTGTAAAAAAGGAATTGCTATTGCTGCCTCTCAATACTTTTCCTCTATTCCGTCCTTCCGATCCTTTTATTATCTATACTTGCTTTTTCCTGTTTCTTATTTTTTGTTGCTGTACGTCTCTATCATTTCCGCCGTGCAAAATGCTTTGTTTTGACTTTTCTCTTCAGGCTGATCGATAAGTTTTTATGTGATTATACATTTTTTGGCGAATAATCTTTTGTTAATTAATTTTGATATTAAGTATTTATTTTTATTTATTTATATTTATTTATTTTTATTCTAATTTTCACAATTACAATGTACAAAGAATATTTTTATAACCTGTTCCGCTGCTTATCTATAACTCTTTGAAATTTACAGTAGTGCTCATAAAAAATTAAGTAAATGATTCCAACAAGCGTTGCGCGATTTATAATCGTCTCTCGTGGCAATTATTATCTATGTCTACGCGAAGAAAAAAATCAAATCTGAAGGCATGTGAGAAGATAAAAGTGTTTCAAAGTTTTTTCAGAGAGCAACAATATTTCAACGATACATATCAGAAATAAGCCGAAAAAAGAGAGCAGATAAAACCTCTTGCTTCTATTCTATCCGCTTTACTGCTTTCAATACAACTTAGCAATTTAATTCACAATCATTCCGACTGGTTTTGGAGATGTAAAATAAATTAACAAAAAACAAGCGAACCTTATGTAAAAGCTAATGACTTGATCTGTTTCACAGATGCAGGCTATTCAAGAGGAGCTCCAATGTACTAACTCGAGTGTGTTGACGGCTGGTTCGAAACAACGGCAGCAACATAAAATATCGGAATTGCACATACAAAACGAGGATCAAGTACAGACAGTGCCACAGTGGACAAATAGTTTGAATAGTGACAGTATGTCCAGCATTAACAGCTGTAGTCCTATTCACAATAAGCAAACAAATTACGATCCGCTAAGCTATGATAACGAGCTAAATTTTATCAATAGTACCGATATGTTGCAAGATAACGAGCTTTTTAGTGCACTTGATTCAACTCTGCTCTGAGCTCACAAATCGCGAGACAAACTTTGATTTTTTTTCTTTATTTATTTTTTTTTATATTTGTCTCATGCATTTGGTTTTATTTTTGTTGTTAGAATTTATACAATTACAGATATATACATAAACATATACATAATTATATATAACTTGTCTTATAAGACGTCCGGGGCCTTTTAACATATAGTTTGTTGTAGAAATAAGCGCCATAATTATTCAACATTACAAGAATGGACAATGACGTAGCACGAACCATACAATAGATCAATTTTTTTTGCTACTATTTCTTGCTCAGTCAGCTTCCGAAAACTCGTTTACGTCTCTCTTATGTGCATCGTTATTAGAGATTCATTTCAATGCAATTGCTTTTTCCATTTCACTTACTTTTATGACGATTTATTATTTTCTTCTTACTGTCATTTTTTCGAGGCCCTTGTAAAAACGAATGTTTTATATTGTACTGGTGCTGGTATAATTATGGTTTAAATGTAAACAATAAATTTGATAAAATAACTAATATGATGATGATTATTATGTGTATACTCTTGAACTTTAAGAATCTCTGAGTATTCAATGATTAAAAATTATAACTAATGACTACTCGAGATATCATAATGTGACTTTTATAATTTTAATTTTTTACGAAAATTACAAATTTTTCACAAATTTTTTTACAAAATTGTAATTATATGTATGATGCGTTTCATGATTTTAATCCAACAAATCCTCAAGAGAACTTGTAACTACACATCTTTGTTTTTATAATGCTCTGTAACTATGATGATTGATGATCAGTACAAGTGTTAACTGAATGATTGTATAATTGTTGGTTATAAACAAAGAAAATTGTACAGCAAAAAAATAACCGTTGACAAAACGAGTGAAAGATTAGTTGAATCATAACAATCGAACGATAAGATGATTTTGAAATAACTACCGTCAGAATGCACTACTTAAGTAGGACCGTGTGATCATACAAAAAAATGGGGTGGTGACGATGTCATTTTTAAAAATCTCAACAATAAAAAAAAATAATAAATGAAAAAAAAATTGTAGCCTAAGTGACACATCACAGCACGAGATATAGTCGTGCGCGAAAAGCACTTGTAATGTGTCCCAAAAAGTAATACTGTAAAGATTATTATAATACTAAAAAATTTATTATATTTACATTTGGTCAAATAAAAAGGACATTCTTCAGTTTTCCTTCTTGCTCAACGACTTTCCACAAATAGCATATATTGTAGCTGCATTTCTTCAAATTTTATATGTTGTTTGCAGATAAACAATATAAGCCATTCGTGTAATCAGTCGAAGAATGAATCACGAAAAAGTGTATCAAGACAATCTAAAAGACTGTTATTTAAATTCTTTTATTATAATTATTTTATATTTTCTTGTATTTTATACAATTACATAGATTTACAAAGCTAAAATATACTCTTTATATAATACAATTATACGATCACGGAATTAGCGTTTGTCATTCATATTTAACCACAGTAGGCATACGAGAATAACAGTCATAAATATTGCTATATGTTGCTCGATTTTTAAGAAAAGAACAACTATATAGCTAAACAGTTTGTTACTTTTCCGGTTTGGTAGGTTTTTCAATCTTTTTAGTTAGTCGTGTTGACAGCTTGTTACTGATATGATATGATGTAACCTGTTTTAAATTTTCTAAATAAAGATACTGTCCTTGTTCCTTTTTATAATAAATAGTTTTGTTTGTTATTGCGTGAGTTTGTGAGTTAAATTCATTTTTTGGGTTCGTCTGAAGAGTATTAAAATGTCATGGAAACATTTTGCACAAGTCTGGAAAAATACCACGTACTAACTCACGTCCCATGTCAGACAAAAACAAGTTCACAGGTCTAGGTGGCTGCTGGTACGGCTAGCAGTGAAATGGCTTTACAACGCAATAACAACAAATGCAAACTAATAAGAATATAGAAAATGCAGGTACTGTTATTTAAGCACCTAATGAAGCGATTTTTGTGGATTTAAGTTCGCTTTATTATTCGTGTTTAGTATTTGGCGCACGCTCGACAGTTAACAGACGCGCGATGGCTGATAACTAGATGAAGATAAGTGACGTATCCGCGAAACTTACTAAAAATTAATCTGTTGTTCTATGAAGTACTGTTGGCATTCAATGCGGCGCAGAATCAACTCAATGATGTTTAACGGCATGCTAGGGGATGTACGAGCCAAACGTGAACTTGAACGGTGGCGTCGACAAAAATTATAGATCAGGTAACACTTGAATATCGAATTTTCAACGAATCATCCAGCGACTACAAACGGAACAAGTTTCCCTTCGGAAACAACTAGCTTAGTTTCCCCAATAATTACACTGACAACAAATATAGTCACACCTATTGAATATTACATAATAAATTAAAACCTGGCACATATGATGGCATCATTCGTTTATATTATAGTACTTTAAGCAATTTAAATTGATAGCAAAGCAAATAAGTGAAGTAACAAAAAAGATTGCATTTGCTACTTGTTTATGCGGTAAAACTAAATAGTTTGAAAAAAAGCTAGAGATTTTAGATTTATAGGGACTTTATCGAAAAATTTGGAGATATGTTTTGGAAAAGATACAGAGTCAAATAGTTACTCCTTATTTGAAAATAGACATGAGGAGCTTGGCGAGAATCTCCTAATAACGTTAGCAGCTAATGTAGAAAAATTAGAAAATGATTATGATGATGTTAGTATATAACTAACAAATAGATGCTTATCACAACAGGTAAATCGTTCTTTCTACTCAGTTATTTTAATTCATAGTTTTTCTTATTATTAACTTTATAATGACCAATCAAAGGGCGAATCGATCACATCTATACAATATATAATTCAACAGTTGGTTGTCATAATAAAATGTAACCATGGGTACGACAGTTATACACGCATACAACGTTCTTTTTTGTGCCACAAAAAAATAGCATGGCATCAATAATCCGATGCTACGGTCGTCAATAAAAAAGTGCTTGTACGTATCACTTGTGCCAGATTGACTATTGCGTAGGCGTTTGGTCGTATCTGAGTTTATTTATTTACTATGTTTCTGTCACGCACTGTAAGACCGATGTCGGCAGTAATCAAAACATGGCAGTAGCATGCGTTCAAAAATTATAAAATAAATTGGAGATGTGTTTTGAGGTCTCCGAAATCTCGCGCCCTCGTGTTTGTTCCCGTCTCGATAATGCTTGTGGCTCGATACTCGAGTCTCGCGTCGAAAGCATTTCCAAAATGTTCGTGCGAAAATTTGTGTTTATAAATATGCAAATCAAGCTGTTGCGCATACTTAGACGCGCGACTGCGCGCAGAAATGTGCGTTTGCTTTTCTACGATACACGTGAAAATCTGCGCGTCAATGTTCAGGCTTTTTCGGTGCGCCAAGTTGTCGTACAGCGTGAACTCGAGCCAAGCTCGGCAAAACTAATTAGGTTACAGTATAAGATCTCGCGAGCTGTATCGCGCTACAGATCTCCTTCTCTGTCGCGAAAGGCTACACAGCTCATAGTCGAGCCAGCGTGGAATGTGATATTTCATTGTTGGTCTGTGAATTAAAGTGGCTGTACAAAGCAGGGCAGGTCGACGCGAATCTGCAGCGGTACGGAGCGAACGAGGAGTCGAAACGATCTTGGCAAACCTGTTGCGGCTGGAGGATGCGAGGACGAGACAGCTTACTTTAGGAGCACTTGAGTGCGCTCGTTGGCCAGATGTATCCGCGTGTCGTTCGAGCCGACCTGCAAGGCAGGAACGCAGGGAAGGAAGCGGTGAGCGAGAAAGGCCGGGGCTAGTCGAAGCGCGCGTGCCGACCTTGCGATTGATCCTGTCGACCTGGCGATTCTGATTCTCGAGCTCGCAGCCCATGTCAATGGCCATGTTCCTCAGATTGCCGATCATCGTGTTGACCTGGCCCATGTTGTCCTCCATCTCGGTCTCGCGCGCGTCGTTGGTGAGGTTGCCGATGTAGCCGGTCTGCGGACCCAGGCAGTGGCGCTGGCCCATCAACCGCTGCGGCTGGTCGTTCACCACCTTACCGTCGTCGTCGTCGTCGTCGTCGTCGTCGTCGTCGTCGTCGTCGTTGCCCGTCCACGTGGTCTCGTTCTCCTTGAAGCTCGCGCTCCTGTGCGCGTCGCCGGCGAGCTGTTAGTCGCGAGCGGAAGGTAACGCACGCCTCGCCTACCTGTTCCACGGCAGAATGCACGTCCCGCAGCACTTCTCCATGCTCGTCAAGTTCTCCTCGGCCTTCTTCATGTCGGCGTTGATCTGGTCTTGGCCCGCTTCCACCCGGTCCAGCTGCTCTGTTTACCGATCGTCGTGTTTTAGCGCTCGTTCGGGCCAATCTCCGCGTCTCGTGCGCGAGACATTGAGCCACGACAATTAACGTGCAACGAAGACAAGGCTGCCAGCGGAATTCGGCATTTTAGCAGCTGACACCACGTTGGCGTTCGCACGCCAAACAACAAATAGAATGGAAGTGCGGAAGTATCGCAGCAACCGTGAAATACGTCATAAATTACAGATTTTCTATTTTTGAACCTAAAGTGAAATTAAGTTGAGAAGTTGCACGTATGGACGTTAAAAAATCTGAGTAACAGTCGTTAAAACGTCGGTGAGCATGAAACTATACCATTATGCTATTTTTCTCAATTTTTACGCTCGGAAAGTCTCAAGAAAAACAAACACTTTGTTACATAATAGAATTAGCTCTGTTGCTTAGTGCAGTTAAACGAAAGACATTACTGTTGCTACGTTTGAACGGCCATCTTTCAAATGGAAATTACAAAAAACAAGTACACGTCATTGACGAAAGTTACTATTTAATATCATTATTTTCATGGACGGATTACTCAAATACAAAAGGATGCACAATCAAAGAGGCAAGTAGCCTCTGGTGTCTCTGTATACTACGTTCATAAATATCGCTTGTCTATTTTCCAGTTGCTTCATATGCTACTATCAAGTGTTGCAACATACCTATTCGAATTATTGATAACTTTGTCGAAGAGACGGTTTTATCTATAATTAATGTCAAATATTTCCGAATGCATAAGTTTCCGGTTATTCGTGTTTCGCATTCCGAAATAAGGATATTAGAAAATGTGCAAATTCTCAAAATATACGTGTATACGTGTCCACGTAACTAAGTTAAAAATTAAATAAGAGCTTCTTATTGTACAGATAGTCTGCCAAATGCACGACGGACCTAAGTGATACACAATTTACAAGAACTGTACGGAATGTAACAATTAATATAACATATAATAAATAAATTTTTGTGACCAAATGACTCACGCTTACCAAGAACTTATCAACTAGTTGTAGAACACCGATTAACTAATACATCGATTGCAATAACAATTACTCAACAATGATTTTTCTAAATACTAATCATAGAATTTGTTTGTAAATCAATTGTGATAAAAAAACAATGCGGTGCATCACAAGCATAACTGAAGAAAAAAAAACGACAGGTTTTGACTGCAAAAAATAATGAAGAATAACGTCGTGAAAAAGTAACGTCAAAACAAAGTTGCAAGGTGCGCATAAAGATTGTAAATAATGCGAGAGAAGGTGCACTACATGAATAAACGAAAAGTCAGCATTAAAAACGTTCAAGTGGTCCTGAGTGAACTGAAAACTCACCTCCCTGGTCATCGAGAGCGACCAGAGTGCGAATGCCTGTCTCCTTGCTCTACGTACGCAGACCGAGGAAGCGCGTGAAAAAAAAGCATGTCCAGCTGCAGTGTTACATCGAGTAGCGAGTTGGACGGGTTGGGTTTCGACTGGCGCATCGATCATTCTCCGGGGCATGAAGTTATCTTGCGTGCGTCAAATCGAAGTCGGTCTGACGAGACGCGTCATTTTCAGATTCGAGCCAACGCGAAACGTCGATTCGGAGCAGCGAGTTACGCAACGCGATCGCGGAGTGCAGATGAGTGATTGTCATTTGTTTTGGTTACCTCGTTGCATAAAATATCGCTCGCGGGCTTGGCTACAGCGAGTCGGTCTCGCGTTGTCGCGTATCAATAACGGCGATGCCGATGCTCTCCCGGTGCCTCGAGGCTGCGTTTGCCACGTCGACTGCGCCGTTGTCGTCAACGTCACTTCTCTGGCGCTGCGTATTTTCGTCGCACTTTTGCGAAAGCTTCGAACGCGTAAATTTCCGCATAGATCGATGCGATTGGCGTCATTTTAGCTGCACTTACAATTCGACATTTGTTTGCGACGCAGACGCGATAAGCTGCGAGTCGCACAAACATCGTCGCGCGACGAAACAAAGAAATTACGAGATTTCACGAAGTTTTCCGTTTTTATTTCTGCGAGAGATCTTTGGCAATCCGAAGATTGGCGCTGTTTTTGAAAATTAAAGCAGGTGAGAGCGAGCCGATGCACCGAAAATTGGTCAAGACGACCGGTACAGTTTCACGGCTCGCCTACGCTCTACTCGATGTCCAAGGTAATGCAACGGAGCACGCGACAAAGGCAGAAAGCCACAAGTTTACTTGAACCGCGATTGTCTGGAATGAATTCTCAATGAAAAAACGAGCAAGAGCAAACTTATCGCGCGTCTGCTTTCCACTAGTGCCGTGCGACATCTCACCTCCTCGCACATAGCCAGCATACGCCTTGTGCTTTCCAGCGACTACAAACAAATGAAATAGATCAGCGGCAAGTGGCGAAGACATTGGCCACGGTCGAGAATGATCAGCGTCAACCTCATCGGCAGTTTGATGAGCTTTGAACTTGAGCTGCTGAAGCTGGGAGCGTTGGGTCGCCCGCACTGATGGCGACGTCGGTGCTGGCATCTTTCTCGGCGTTCCTGCTTCGCCGCGAGCTTCTGCACCGTCGATGGCGAAACAGCTGCGAGCAAATCGGTCGACCGGTCGATTCGCGCAGCAGCAGCGCGCGCGGACAATCTCCTTGCGGACAATCGACGTGCGCCGTGGATGCGCGACGGCCTCCGCAGCGCACCAGTTGCCGCGAAAGACGCGCTTTTCCCAACGCGCATGGCAGCTTGAGGCGAGCTTGCGCGCCGCAGTGTCGTCCATGCCAGCCGGCCCGGCGCGCCGGTGTCGCTTGCCCGAGGGCGCAAGCTCGAGCGTGGATAGCGGTAGGTGTGCGCGCCCCGTGGTGCGCGACACATCCGCCTCTCCGTTCTCGGTTTCGTCGCCGCGTCGAGCCCGCGTCTTCCCCCTCGAACGCCGCCGTCCAATCTATACGCTCGCGCCGCGGCCTCCGACCGAAGGGGCGCTTTTTCTATCCCGTGCTGGGCTGTCCCTGGAGGGAAGAGCTCGCCAAGTGGAATTGGGCTGTCCCTTCTTCGAGGGCAGTGCGGGCGCGATCGCGAAGAGGTGCTCGGTTTATCGTCCTCGCTGGTACGTCGACGGCTCGTTTCGCCCGATCTTCTCTTACGCTACGTACAAATGCAGACTCGCGAGGATGCACCGCGTGCGTCTTATCTGTGCTCGCTTAACTGCCGACGGGCGCCGAGACAGAGTTCCGCTTCTCGCTGTAAGGTGCGTACGCGACAGCGCATCGCCGATTTTTCAGTAAAAACTTGGCCGACGCAAGTCCAAGAGAGCCTCGATGCGACAACGCCCAGCCACTCTTTTTCCAAGAATCGTTGTCTTTGCAGTGGGAAAAGATCGATTTGAGTTCGCGGCGAATCAAAGAACGTTTTTCCTCGCAGTGTTCCCGTAGCGCGGCAGAAGAAAACTGTCTCGACGACCGTACGATCCCTTATCAGCAGCGTTCAGTGCAGCGCTATATGCCGTTGCGCGTCTTATAAATTGCGAGTGAGAAGCCGCGATTTCGCGACTCGCGCCGAAACCGAGATCGATCGTAAAATCATCGCAAGCTGATTTCCAAAACGTCATCCGGCATTATAACACGTTTGTCGCGAAAGCGCGCGAGCGTAACGCGGCATTCGTTGAAAATTAGCCAAGGCGAGCGACGACGACGTCCTCCGGGCGAGACTCCGCGTTTCGCAACTCACTTGGCTTCCTCGCAGCGAGAAGTGACGCGTCAACAGCCGCGCAGTCTACGAGAACGGCGAAAGCCCTCGGCACAATCGAAAGCTGCAAGGTCGGCCTCGCGCTAACGGCGGCTGCCTGTTGAGCGAGAAGTTCGTCTCGCCGGCCCGGCTGGTGCGGCACTGTGAGTCACAGCGCTGACGCCGACCGTCGACCCCCCCCCCCCCCCCTCCAATCGACCACTGCGACATATGCGCGCTCGCTCGCGCGGATATGCTTACTTGATTCTTCGATCACTAGTGTTATTTATTTGTTAGTTAACTAATCACTAGTGTTTCATTCTTTTATGTTTCTCTATTATTTATCAGGTTATTTTAACCCTTTGCATGCCAACTTGGATATTCTAATGGGCAAGAATAAGTCATGCTGTTTAAAATGAACTATATATGTACATAAATATTCATTAATAAATAAAAGTAGAACTTTCACCCATTTCTCCACATAAACCAATGAACCTTTACCCATTTCAAGATAAATTGTCCAGAATTGTTAATTCAACCTACGATCGATAAGCTATTATACTATTATACAACATTAAACTTTACATACTAATGTATTAATTTCAGTAATCGTATGCATTTTGTTGCTACTATGAAAACACCCATGAATACTCTTCAAATTTAACGGGATCAATATTCTGATAATTAGTTTCCGTTGCTCGCATACTTCTTAATTTATTATGTACACATGATATAAATTTTTTTCCCCTATTTTATCCTATTCACTTTCTCTCTTTCAGTCTAATTTTAAGACAATGTTAATTTGAGTATCACAGATGCTTAAAATTAACAATTTATAATGATAATTTCAAAACATAACGTCTTGTATTCTCAAAGTGAATTATTAACGGCATTTTACATTCTTGCAGATTATTATCCATGTTAATTATTTAGAAATTGCATTGACTGTTGAAAAATAAATCGCACACTTCTAGATATATAATAAGAATATTTCAAAGTATATGAAAATTCAAAATCTCGCGCTCTTTTTTAGTACAATCAATGACAATGCTGGATGACAGGCTAAACATCTTTTTTTTCAAGGCAGAGAATCGAAGATAAAACAAGTGACACACTTTTTATCTTTCTTGACTTACTTTGCTGGCAGCGCGAAAGTTGCGCCTTGTGCTTTCTGATACAGAGCTGTCGTATTGCTTTTCGATAATTGTTTATCATAAGCTTCGAACAATACTGCTTAGATATGATGACATTGCGGAGTATTAAAAGCTACGGCTGACATTGAATGTCGAGGTGTCAAGTTTTACCTAATGTTCCCCCAGAGTTGGAAAATTAGAAAGACAAAAGAGACAAACTAGTTGACGGGGTTTTCCTTCTATTTCAGTAAATAAAATATTAAAAAATAACATTTCAATGAACATGCATTGTATGCTGCTGTTAATGAAATGATAATAATGATCGCACAGGAGTCTTGAATGGCATAGCGCAACTTGCTAACTTTAAAACTGAAGGAAAAAACTAAAATATTTTGAGAATTTCGCGCACGTTTTAATGAAATTTGATATCAGTCGCAGCCACGTTGGACAATAAGCAGGATGAGTAGAGAACGACGGAGCAATAATTACGAGGCAACGCTAAATGTTTCTTTAAGACTTTTTAATGTAAGTTAATTTTTATTATACAATTGTCAGTTGTCTATTATCAAGGAAAGTATATTCATATGCATGTACAATATATAGAATCTGCGAGATATAGCTTGATACCATTATTTCACTCTCTTTCGTCAATATTCTTCGATTTTGTTTTCACTCAATCACACACGCATGTAATTATCTATAGTACGTATACATATTTATATGCATGTGTGTTTATGTAGTTTCTGGTTTCTGTATTGGTAAATGTGAGTTTTTGCACGGTGACGCAAACTGCTGAGAAGAGCGTAAAATAACCGTCTGCGCTGTCAATGTGAAACCCGCGATCGTTCTTTTCTAAAATTTACTTATCTCTTTAGTTTAGCTAGTTGTCTTCTGAAACAAATGGCCCCGCTCGCCTCGTCCTCCTCAGCCTCAATTCGTAAAATAGTCCAGAGGTAGTCGATTGAGGACAAGTTTTAATTTCATCTATACTTGTTTTGTTAAACGCCTTGATATTTTTTTAACGCTCTATCAAATCGACTTTGTTTTTTTCAAACTTTTTTCGTTTCGCTAACAATAAAAAACGTGTTTGTTTGTTATAAATAATCGATTTTTTGTAATTGTGTACAATGCGCGCCTTATCGGACAATCCTCGAATCTGCAGACTCAACATTTGATGTGTTTTTTTTCAACGTTTTCGTCTTTTATTATTTTTTTTTGTACGTTTCGTCGTATTTTTTTCTTGAACTAGATACATTTATAAGGCTAAAATATATTTGTATATAATGTAATACGAATACGAGAAATAACGCTTACTATTTTCCATAATCAAATCTCACTGCTAATCTAGCAACAGTAGGCGTATGAGAATAGCATAATAACAGTCATAAATATCAATTTTCTTCATCAATAAGTTTATAACAAGCGATTAATGGAAGAAATAATAACATCTATAAATATAATTTAACAGTTAGTTGTTGCAATAGAAGTATAACTATATGCGTATTCAACGGTTACACATATATACGCACATATTTACGTACAACGTTCTTTTTCTGTTTCATAAGAAAATAGCATTGCATTATAGTTGAAAAACTTGATAAATGTAAAGTACATAGCAAATTCTACGAAAAATTTATTAACAATCAAAATCTAATGTCGTAGTCGTCAATAGAAAATTTGAAGAATTTGTTTTCATTTTTCACGTTCGAATGCTTACGCACTTGCGATTCAAACAGCAGATTCGAGATATCACTTTGAGCCGCATCAACTCTATCAAATTATTGACCAGGCATTCGATTATTTTTTGTTCACACTTTAAATCATTCTTCTCGGCTGATCGATCAATCGATTAACACGACGTCGCTGGAACGCGCATTTTCATTCTAATACGTCAAATCTCATTGCTACATGCAGATTTCAAATATACATATTGCTGCTCCCACCTAGCGCGCCTCGCGAATCCAGTCTAACGCATCGATAGCGCACTTTTTTTCTAGCAGTGTTTTCGAATCGCAGCCATTCCGTGTTCCTTCTACATATTGATATGCACGATACGCTCTGCCGTAAAAATTGCTTTCCGATAATTGAAACGCAGACATCGTCGTCGCACGCTGTGTAAAAATACTCGAACGCACTCTTTCGCATCGAGCCGAGTACAATTTCAAAGGGAACGCGTGGTTATGTAGTTGTCGAATAGGCCTGATAAGTGATTGTATACAATTGTGAGTGAAACAAGGATTTAAGCGACTGCTGCCAAGCTTTATGCAAAGGCTTTTTTTTCTATTACTGACATTGCCTTCAACTCATAAACTATGCTGGAAAAATATAATATATACAATAAGTAATCGCGCGTGTTAATTAAGCGTCGATCGATCGTTCAAAAGATGATATTTAACGAAGAATTAAATAGCACACCGAAGGACGGCTTACGATCTTTTCTTCTGTTAGCAGAGAATCTCGCAGTAAACTGCATTAAAAAAGTAAAAAAGGGAAAGTAGACGCGCGCGCGCGCGTGTGTGTGTGTGTGTGTGTGTATACGTGTGTTTACGTGTGTGTCTGCGAAGTTCCCCCAAAGAAGCTTGCGTTCTCATGATTTTTTTTGTTCTGTCTTCTTGGATATTGCTTGTCGTCCAGCACTTCATTTTTACATTAAAACACTCTCAAAACGCTTGCACTCGGTGTGACAAAATTTTTATTTGTTTTTTTTACATATATATATTTATAGATCCAGCTCATACATATATAGACATACTAGTACGCGCATAGGTATATCTTTCATCATCCTCTCATACTTTCTTTTTCGCGGTATCATCAGCTCTAGTATAATTTTTTGTATTTCTCTACAATACATTTACAAGCCTCTGCGTAAATACAATAATGTACAGGTTTTTTTTACGTGCGTCACACTTTTTTTTGGTTAATTGTAAATGCACAAGTCGTCGTCCTCTTGGTCACAATTTGCTCTATTGCCGTTACAGTGTGACCCAGCGTGGCTCTTGCTTACGTATATTCCGGCAAACTTACACTGATAGTCGGATTTAGTATGATCTTACGAGTTGGGTCTCGCTATAAAACCGTTTCTCACGTCCATCGAGATCTAAACTGATTTAATGTGAAATCTGATGTTTGCAATTGTTATCAACAATTAATCTTGTATCTATTTTCTAAGTTCTGCTGCTATGTGTATATCAGCTCTCGGCTCCCTTTACATTCTCTCTCTCTCTCTCCTTGTCTCGCTTTCATGCTTCTCTACACTTTGTTCCTCTCATCTTTTTGTTTCTTCGATTGTTCGTGTCCGAAAGTCGGACGCGTTCCCCTCAACGTGTTTGCCTCTCGGTTCATTGAGTATAAATAAAGTTTTTCAAATTTTCAAATAACTATCGCCAGCTAATCTAATTTATCACCTACTCTACGCGACCTATGGCGTATCAGTGCTCATGCAGATATTTGTCTGCAGCCTTAATTATGTAGACTTGGTTTTCAGAGAAATCGCCAGAATCTAATCTGCGGTCCCTTTTCGTCCGAAAATCTCATAGAAATGCGCTCAAATAATAAATAGATTTATATCATTAAGCACTGCGTCGTCGTCTCTCTCAGTTTCAATAAATTTTCTTAATTAAATTTATACTTTAGAAGATCGTTGTGTTATTGTTGTCACTTTAAACTAACTATATAATCTTTAATAAAGTTTTGCGCCATATTTTTCAACACTTGATACAAGAACTCTTGGTTCCTATATTATATAAGATGCGTCGACGCTAAGAATATTATTAATGGTTACTGATAATTAGAAGATGCTTAATATAACTATAACAATTGTTATTGTAACCCTCCGCCATTCGGCAAACGCTTGCTGGTTCATTGCGTCGCTACGGGACATGTGGATTTTACATTACTTGGTTCGTTTTAATCGCGTTAAACCGTACAAAAAGCATATAGCAACACCGAACGCTCGAAGCCAAGTCAACAATTTTCTTAGTTATGCGCTTCTTTTGTTCTCTAACTCCCTTCAGCAATGCGATGCGCAAACACGCGCGTATACAATGAGACAGAAACCTCATCGGACATCGATGCAGAAAAACAAACGCGATTTTACGCATTCTAGAGCAATAAATAATCGAATGAATGAACGAACGTACGAGCGGACCAATGAATATGAAATGAAAGTAATGACCGCGGCTCCTGTCTTTCGCAATTGGCACGTGCAAGCGACGACTGATAACGGCGCGGTTTATCGATAAGCGTACGTCCCGAGAAAGCAAATAAAAAATAATGATTTATCGGCAAGTGCATCGGTACATCGGGCACAGTCGTATTCAAGCGGAATAGAGAAGAGTAAGCCGACAAATAATGCTTCGCGTAACTTCGACGAGCTACACAGATAAATCCGATATGCATGTGAAATCAATGAAGGAGATACAGATCAAAGGCACGTAAAAACTGACCCGGTCCTTGCCTTGTTATTATCAATCGACCGATGAGTCTCTAAATGTAGATTTAAATTACTTGTTTGGTTCATTGCAGATTTGCTTGTTTTACGGATATATCGTCCCTCCCGCTAAAGAGAGCGATCGAGAGAGAGAGAGAGAGAGAGAGAGAGAGAGAGAGAGAGGATCAAGAGGAGCAGTACTGTTGCCGTTATTATTAAGGATATCGGCAAACTGCGTATAATAGAAAATTAAGCAGCAAAGTCCGTCCTTTTTACGCAAGACGCACAAGAAGAAAGGAAGAAAGGAAAGACATTCAATGCAAATAACGATCTATAAGGACGGGCTTGAAGCAAGAGTGCTGAAAAAGACGTTGATGGATTCATCGATCATCGTCGATTAAACGTGAACGGGTTGTAGACGCGCGGAAAGAACAATAACAAAAACGGAGAGTGCAAGTAAACGCAGTTAATCGACTCGGTGTGAAATTTTTCGAGATATGTGTTAATTATTGTGTGTCCGTCGCTCACTCACGGAATACCGAATGAACGAGATGAGGAATATGTACCAATCTACGAGATGAGAGAGAGGGAGAGAATTGCCGGTCAGGTCTAGCCGAGTCAAGTCACAGAGAAAGCGAGGGAAAAGCTCGAGGAGAATAAATAGGGACAGACGCTAGAGAAGAGTCGCTGTGGAGCAGGACAGATAGAGGAGGCAGAGAGTGGGTTGACGCAGTGGCGAATGACGACGATTACAAGGGGGAGGATGAGGATGCGATCAGTTTTCTCGAACCGACTCGACAGATCTGTATCGTGTTGCGTGCAGGACAGAAGGTGGATGTTCGTCGTGGCCGCTGCTTACTTAAGAAGCTGGTGGGCTCGCTCGTTGGCAACTTGTATCCTTGTCTCGTTGGACTCTCCCTGCAAACAATAAGCGCAAACGGGTCGTTGAGAGATCGACAAAGAGCGCAAGCTCGCGAACACCACATCGAGATTACCAAAGGCTAAGTGTGGGGAGGAGGCGGTTGCTGACTGGTGGGATGGGACACAGGACGACTAAGTATAGATCTAAGACTACGACAACTACATCTAAGACAGACAGACAGATAGATAACTGCCCGTGTAGATAGAAAGAGAGATAGATTTGTATAGGATACGCACCTTGTGTCGATCGTTGATAAGTGTGTGTAAATAGAACAACAAAGTAAATATAATATGGGCATATTGGATTAATATATCAAGTGGTTAGTTGTCAGCTTTTCTTTTGATTGCTGGCAAGGGTGGATACGTACAAAGTATACACATATAGACAAACAGACAGACAGACAGACAGACAGACAGACAGACAGACAGACAGACAGACAGACAGAGATAACCTAATGTCATACATATACATAATATTAATACACAGAGGCGCTAATATATAATAGACGTCGTAGTGCAGGCGAGTATATTATATCTTGGTCGTTGTTTTCTGTATACAACAATGTACTGAGTAGTAGTAGTAGTAGTAGTAGTAGTAGTAGTAGTAGTAGTACAAGTAGTAGTAGAGTTGTTATTGTATTTTGCTGTCGGACTGAGTGGACTAGTGGTGGTGAGTTCGAGAGAAAATGGTGGGACGGGAGGTGGGCAGAGTAGGGTCTGGGGACAGTTGCGGAGGCAGCTGGACATAGAACATGAGCAAAGAACATCGAGCATGAGAGATGCCTGACCTTGCGATTGATCCTGTCGATCTGGCGATTCTGATTCTCGAGCTCGCTGCCCATGTCAATGGCCATGTTCCTCAGATTGCCGATCATCGTGTTGACCTGGCCCATGTTGTCCTCCATCTCGGTCTCGCGCGCGTCGTTGGTGATCTTGCCGATGTAGCCGCCCTGCGGGCCCAGGCCGTTACGCTCGTCCATGACCCGCTGCGGCTGGTTGTTCACCACCTTGCCATCGTCGTTGCCCTTCCACGTGCCCTCGTCCTCCTTGAAGCTCGCGCCCCTAACGTGTCACCCAATGTATCCAAACCAACCACAGCTCGGTCCTCTCTGGCCCTGGCCCCATCATCACGCACGCACACACGCATACGCTCGTCATCACGCACTCGGACTCGCCGCTTTACGTACTTGTTGCACGGCAGCACGCACAGCCCGCAGCACTTTTCCATGCCCGTCAAGTTCTTCTCAGCCTCCTTCATGTCGGCGTTGATCTGGTCCATGCCCTCCTCGATCCGGTCAAGTTGCTCTGTTCACCAATCATCACATTTGACTTTTTACTGATCATTAGTGGGGCCGAGCCAATCGCCACTCTACGCAACCGGCTGGCGGACGTGCAGGCACGTCGCACACTCGCAAACAACGACAACCGACGGCGGCAGGTTGCGCGCCGAGGCCGACGCGGGCTCCGTGCTCGGAGTAGTCGCCTCGGCCTTGGCGCGCGACGCTGCCGCCCAACCAAATCACGGTCAACCTGCAATCACCTTCGACTAATAGAGTGAGAATACAAGCCAGATGTGAAAAGAAAAGAAAAAGTTATGCGCGACAACCAAGTGATGCGTTACATTCGAGCTACTTGATTAGAAACTAAAGGCGAATATATTGAAGAGTTGTAAGTATATGCATGAATATTAAAAGAGGTCTGAGCAGCGGTCGTTAAGGTGTCAGTGAGCATGAAACAGTATTATTATGTTTTACTATCTCTTTCATTGGTTTTTTTTTTCTTTCTCGTTAACAAAATTTTACAATTGCCATTCAAAGCTCATCAGTTTTCAATTTTATTTGTTGATCTTTGTTTGCCTACTAAGACGTTTTTCAGTGAAACTTCAAACAAGAGCTACTCATATTCGTTTGTTCATTCAGTTGGGAAGTTAAGAGCTTCAGACTAATTTACGAAAATAACGAATTATGACATTTTCAATATGACTTCTTTTTACCCTTTAATTATTTTTTAACTATTTTTTAACTAGGTCAAGGAAAAACGTATTAAAGAAAGTGAAAAACAAAATAAAAATTTCGTGCTCCATTCAATCCTACACGCAGTGCAAGAATCAACTGTATGAAAATTTAGGCAAGTCTATTGATAAATTAAAGAGCCGAGAAAAGGAAAAGTAAAAAGAAAGTTCCGACGTAACGTAGCAAAGACGTTTGGGCATCGAGATGTTCTTTTCAGACAAAATTGCGCATAGAAAGAGATAAACATATGTCGGCTAGAACATAATATGCTGTATAAGAAGATTGGTATATATAATAGAAGTTAGAAAAGTTTAAGCTAAATATTGCTAGAAATGGCTTACCGCCTTGTTCGTCCAGCATAACGAGGGTTTTCATCCCGACTTCGTGGCTCTAAACAGGCACAACCGAGCAATGACAGAGAGAGGCATCATTATCATTTATTCGGCATGAGAAAAACCAATTTTTTTATTATTATTATTTGTTTTTTCAAGAGAACAACTCGTCGCGCGATCGCCTGTATCGCCTCGAGATTCCGCTGCATTCTTAGCTCCTTTCTCGTGTCTTTTGAAATCCTTTTTCTCTTTGTCTAACTCGTGCTTCGGAAAAATGCTTTTATTAAATTCAATGATACTTATGTGAAACGCCGAAACGAAATCAAAACGAAAAATCGCGTGCAATCAAAGAGGCTTGGCCAAAGCGCCTCGAGTGTCTCTTTATTCTACCTTCGTAAACTTTCTTCGTCCATTTCCCGATGGCTCGTAATCGACAATTGAAATTTATTTACATGACATCGATTATTACGCAGCGACGAACCCGAGTATTTTTACAATTGACAACGTTTCTTTGAAAATCAATTTTAGCAACAATCTATGCACAAGTACAAAAATCTTTCTTTTCGGATTGCTTTAAAAAATTTGATTATTTTCATTTTGAAGCTTGACTACTAAATACTAGAAGGAGCTAGCAATAGTAATTAGTCTTTGTGGACAAAGTAAGACAGCACCACAGATTCATTCAGATTAATAAGTAGAAGAGGAATAGGGACAAGCAATCGGGTAGAGATAATCTAAGAAAGGATTATATGATTGTTAAGTAGTCATACACGAAAATGTGTAATAAGCAAGCGTAAGATATGTTCATAACAGAGGTTGTTCGGGGTATATTAGGGGCTGGAAGAACAGTTTTTTCGTTCAGTTGATGAGCGTGTGCAACTGTGTAGATTTCTTTTTGCATTGAAAGGGCGCTGTTGCGTCGGTCATACACACACCTATGCAACTACATCATGGTATTTATAATATTGGGAATTCCCATACCGCATGCCGTTATGCTTGACGCTGAATGTATTTAGTTTGTTAATTTGATATTATTACCAGTGTACACATTCCAAACTGGCTGATTAGCTAATTTATTAGTAAACTTATAAATATATTGTTCTCGGTTAATTCGATACAGAATTTCTGTCAATCATTTGTCGCTTACCCCCTTGATGGTCTAGCATTGTCAAAGTATTCGCACCAACTTCTTCGCTCTATAAAAACAATGTTTTTCATATTGATAGTGGAAAGTGGTTAATCAATTGCTTATTCATAGTAAATAATATGTCAATTCAGATCATTGTTCTGATAAAGTTCAAAAAAAAGGTGGATTTATGGGCACCTATTTTCACTTTGACGATTTCTTCATATTTATATAAAAGATTGATAGTTACATAGCTCAATATCAAAATATTACCAATGTCGACATCAGTAGTTGCGTATTTCCGCTTCGATCCAAAATAATTAACCAAATAATATTGAATTTGAAAAAGCAGTTTGCACTATGATTAGTGGCTTATAAAGCACTACTTTCCTTTAAATTTTTAGCTTGTTAAAATAGTCGTTGCAACTTTTTGTACCATAAAAAATTACTTAAATGAAAATAAAAAGTAAAAAGTAAGCGAAACCACCGCTAAGTTTGAAAAACTGCTACTGCGCGTGAAAAATGAATTTATATATGGAGTCTACATTGCTATTTTTCCAGTGAGGGATTGTAATGCTCGCAAAAATTATCAGACCAATAATGAGAAAAATATTTATAAAAAGAACACTGTGATTGAATGTAAATAGTATATTCGATAAGATCCACCAGAGCTAATTTTTGAAGCAATTATATAGCCTATTCAGATAATTGAAATTCTAATTTCTAAGATCGTAACTTCGGAGACCGAGGCGCAGATAATACTATAGAAAAACTGCTGCATTACTGCAAAAAAATGTATGTACAATGTAGGTATGCATTTTACGACCAAATCAAACCAATGTAAGACGTTTTACAACTATTGCCAAACGTCTTCTATTAAATAGCTTCAAGTTTAAAGTATATTGTTAATGAATTAAACTATGGCTAAACGAATAGACGAAACGAATAAATAAGTTACAATTGCATAAGGAAAATAAAAGTTGTCTCAAAATAAAGCAACACATACAGAAGCACTTGATAAAGCTACAAATGTATTTATGAACACACTTTATGTCAACAGTCATGTGTAAACTAACGGACTAAATTTACAAGCTCACGTAAGGGAAAGTATATGTTTAGTTTGATCTGAGAAAGTCAGATTTATTTTTTACTTAATATTACTTTACATGAATATGGGTTTTCTATCTAGTAAATTATTAAGTGGAAACCAATTATTAATTCGATGCAGATTGTCCTCTTTTACGACATATTCCCGATTTAAGTTGTCAGTAACTACAAGCAACATAGTTCTGAGTAAAAAGTAATAAATATAGACAAATAAAATAAGCTTTACTGACAAAAAATTTTTAACGAAAAATGAATTAATCATTGTTCTAAAGTCTACAACTGTAAAACTAAATAACGTAAATTTCGCAATAAGCACAAAGCATGGTGCAATGAACACATGTATGAACTTTTTGCATGACAGTTTTCTCGATTTTATTCAAGCTTATCGATTTAACAAGCCAGGTGTACTATAAATTTCAGTAGCTTTCATGAAGTAGCTCATCTCCTATATTTGTATCTTTGTATCTTTTGGTTGTTTTTTTCTCGGTGAATCAAGCCATGAAATCGTTATAATGGACGCACGTTTTTTACATGAACTCGTGAAAATTTCGTTCGCTAAAAATATCTTAAACTGATATTAATAGAACAATAAAATTCTTTAATGACCCTGTGTAACTAGGAATTTAGTAATATCACAATTCCCTCTTCCATCATATTGTAATGTCATGTCGAATGTAATGTAAAAAATTTTTTTTTAAATAATATTTTAATCTGAAAAGAAATCCCGCTTGGATTGGAAAAATATATGTAATCTTTTATCATATAGTTGAAAAAAACTCATAATACAAGATCAAAGAATAAGCATTCATTGTATGAAGTAAAATACAAGAATGCACGATGTCCGTGGTACTATTGAACAGAAATTTTATAGAATGTAACGGTTAATATAAAATATTTCATTCATCAGTATGAATGTATTTTTATAACTGAAGAATTAACTGACGCTTACCAACACCTTATTAACCAACTAAACTAATGATTAGCAATATATAGATTGAAGTACGGAAAGTTGCACAAAATTAATTCTTCTAAATATAAATTAAAGAATTGTTTTGTGAACTGATTGGATAAGAAAATAATGGGGTGCAATACATGCATGTTTGAAGAAGGAAAAAAATCAACAACTAAATGGTTTGATTATGTTTATCAAATTACATTTTGAATATTTTAAGCAAGCGACTCTACTTCCTTTCATGAATTGACTGTAGTCTAGAAGGATTGCGCTATATTGGGAAAAGTTGAAAATGATAAATTATGGATTGCAGAAGATGACAATAATTTAAGAAGTTAACCCACAAAGAAATTAAAATGATGAAGAACAACAATATATCAATGTAAAAATATGATAACAAAACAAATACTGATTTAAAAGCAAAATAACAAAACAAAGTCGTAAGGTGGATGTAAAGTTTACAAATAATACGAGAAAACATAAACTGAATTAAGAAACTAAAAATAGTAATAATTGGTGTTTGTAAACTGATATTCAATTGAGAAAGTGATTTAGAGCGGATTGAAAACTCACCTCCCTGGTCATCAAGAGCGACCAGAGTGCGGATGCCAGCCTCCTTGCTCTACATAGACAGACAGAGGCAGCGGCAACAACACACACAAAAAAAGATAACCACCACCAGTGTTAGATTGAGTAGTAAGTTTAACATGTTTAAATTAGTATATCAAGTAATATTAGTAAGTATTCGTAAAGGTATTGGGTAAGTATAAGATTTTTTTTATGTATATCAATTAAAATGACGACTCCGAGGAGCAAGTGTGCAAAAAATAAGGTGAACACTTCGCAAATGTCGATGATATTCAATTTCGAACATTATTATATTTCGTGTTATATTTTTCTTTCACGATCTATAAAACATCAAAAACGTTGCGACGATAATTAATCGCCATAACGTATGTTTAAACAAAAAAAAAATTATTTCAAGGCATCTGTTATAAAATACACTTGTGCATCAGAAATTTACATTCAAACTGCAGCGAAATTTAGATACAACGATATTTATATTTTGTCAATACATATTGGTAGTTGCTATGTAAGTTGCTGTTGTCATCAATATGATTGTTGTTTATTGGTGACTGGTGCTGTATTTTTGTTGATTGTACATGTGCTGTATTTTGGCGTTGTACGCTGTCGTTGCGTGTTGACGTTTTGCATTCAATCCATTGTATTTATTCGTTTCACAATCATTAAATTTGCAGAAATACAACAGTTTGTCACGCAAAAATAAATTTACCACTAAAAATTAGAAAAGCTTTTAATTATCTTCCTTTCTGTTTTTAACTTATGTACATCACATCAGCACTGCGATAAGGAACAGGCTACTTTTTCATATGTGCAAATTATTATTCTAGTTATGTTTTGTAAAATGTCCAGTTTATAAACTCTGGAACAGTTTTTCATGGTGACTCTTATCTGTATGAAATCGGGAAATGTATTTTTAAGCCTAATTAGAGTCATTAGTTGGTAGACTTATAATGTCCAATAGAAAAGACAAAAACGGAACTAGGGGTTTTGTTTCAATCTCTGGAAATATAGCGATAAGACAAAAAAATAATAAAAAAAGCAGAAAAATCTCTCGGCTTAATTTATAATTAATCTTTAAAAAATTAAGTTTTAGAAAGAAATTTGTATTATAATATTCTTTCTCTACTGTGTCAGCGTCAAAATGTAGGTCATACAAACACTTATTTTTAAAAGCTTTTCAAATATGAAATCGCAATTCATGATTCCTTATAAGAATGTGTTGAAATATCTAAATGATGCCTTATGGTTTATAACAAAATTAAAATAATATAAAATAATTTTTTTAAGTATTCGAATAACTATTATGGCCTGTACAAGAATACATTTTATAAAGAGAAGTGATTTTATACAATAAAGAGCAAATGGCGAAAACTCCATATATAATTATAGTCATTACATTTGATGTTTTGATTAAATTATTTTAAAGATATTTAAAATTGTAATATTGTTTCTGATATCGATGCATTTACGTGTGTATTTCTTATAAAAATTTAAGCTAATACTACGTGAGAGAAAAGTAACGTCAATAAAAAGAAACGAAATGAGTTGCACTAATGAGTAAAAAATAAAGTGCACCTTATTTATGTACAGTTGGTGTTTAAAATAATTCATGAAAAATAATAATGCAGCACTATAAATGATCTTTGGATATGAACAAGCATTATTTTGCATAATTTACATATTTCGACATATTTTTTCTAGTCGGAAATAAATGTCAGTATTCATTCCTATTCGCACAGCTCCTTTTTTTGTACAACCACCTACTTACAGCCATTTTTATTTATGTTTTATTAATTCCTTTTTATATCATCTATTAATGTGTATTTTATTTAATTTCGTAGTTTTCAATATTTAACACATTCATAGCGCTCAATATCAGCCACTAACAAAAACAGCAACAGCAACTTTAGCATCACAAAAAATAAATATCGGTTAAAGTAAGTTTTGTGATTGTGTTTGCTCAAATATCTAAACACACACTAATAATCAGTTTTAAATATCAATTAATTTGTAAATTTGTTGGTAATATAATACAAAAGCAACGGCGGAATCCTCGTTAGAAGGAATTTTGATTTATTAGTGATAGATGATTATTGATAGATGATTATTTTAGTGATAAAATTTTCAGAAGAAAAGTATAGACCTTTTTACACTATTATACTTTGGAAAATATTTTGTTATTCGTTATTTCTGCAAAATATCTTCGATAATTGAAGGCTTTCATTGAGCGATGAACCGCATTTGAGCTTCCCATCGAGATTGCCTAAAAAGATAGGTGGAGGCAATTTGATACTGAAGAAGATGGGTCAAGGTTATCGAAATCGTTGCATAGTCTGCCCATATTATTTGACGTCTAACGTAATGCAGCGGAATACATGACAAAGACAGATGAAAAATGATAAATTTACAACATTATTTTTACCGCGAACTGGGAAGGGAATTTTAATTAAAGGACGAGCGAGAACGAGTTAAATAACTCCAATAAATATCTGATATATTTTCCACGATAAAATTTCTACCGAGTCCTTTGCATCAACGTTTTCATTCAATTGTATAAATTTTTTATTTAAAAAATTGCGAGTATGGACAATTTTATTCAGCATTCATTATTATGAAATATCTGATTATTAAAACAAGATTAATGTTCCAAAATTTTTAAATAGGAAATTTTTTACTTGAATGTATCGTATCGCATTAGTATAGTTGTTACGTTGTGTTTGGAAACTGTTGGGGATATTCTGATAATTATAATGAAATTTTGCGTGCAATTCAACAAACGCTCACGCGTGCAATGCATCGCTGTAATTTTCACAATAATCTTCGTGCGTTAATTTCAAAAAACAAAAAAGAAAAAAAAACACTCACACACACATTTTAACCGGAAAGCGTGTGTTTGAAAAAAATCGTAAATTCGAAAATGTACTCTTTCTAACATCAAACACTGACGCTGGCCAAAGACAAATACATAAAATAAACAGATGTATGCGCGTCCAAACTACTTTTGACAAGGAAACAGAACCACTAACCGTTAGGTAAATATGTAAAAAACAATATACTTTTCAAAATAATCTAACTGTAATGTAACCTCAACTATATTTACTGTTTTAGATAACTGAATGTAATCCATTAAAATCCAATCTAATTAAATTTTGATAAATTCATTACGAACGGAAAAATGAGGTAATTTTGTTCATTTCAAATAAATACAAAAGTAACCGAGATGACTGTAAACATGGAAACTAGCTAATAAGGTTACTTGGGCGACATAATTTTCATTAACGACGCTTCATTGGAGATTGAAATTTACACGACAATTTCAAAACTATCTAAAGGTAATTTGAATGAAAATAGATGGATTTTTTAGCTTTATTTTATAGGAACGAAAAATGCCGTTAAATTTGATCTGGTCGTGTGTAAAATGTTGTTTTCAATACGAACCAGCATTGCATCGAGTCCGTAGTATCTGTCAAAATTAGAATCATTAATCAACTTTAACTACGCATGTTTCTTTGCTCTCGCTGACGCTCGCCCTTTCTACGCCAAGAAAACATTGCGAGGCCGAGTGAGCTTTCGGATGGCTACACTAACAAGAGGACTGAGCAATGTCGAAAAGAACGAGATTATCGCGAATGTTTTCAAGAATCGTGCAGCGCCGGGGCAAAGCGACGCCGCGCTATCGCCTCGACGAACACGAGGCACACAACCGAGCGCGCAATCGGTAATTTTATACGGGAGGTGGACAATAAAACGGAGAATGCGCCGTCGCAGACTAAGAGTAGAGCTGAGCGACAGAGGACGCATGAATTTTTCCGGGAATCGCGGAGGCTCTCTGCTCCACTTTCAGCCACTCGTACTCGTACATAATCAATGCGACGGTCGGAGGGCACAATATAAACATGTCAGTGTGCGAGTGTAAGATGAAGGAAAATTTGACGAATCAAGGTGATAGTGAAACGGAGAGATGGCAGACAAAAGAGGAGGAAAGAGAGGCGCAATATGTGCCGCTCTGCGATGTGATCGAGCGTGGGCCGGGGAACGAAGGCAAGCCGCGGACCAGAGAGGGAGAAAGCAAGGGAAACAATTTGTTAAGTTTTCCTTCCTCTCTTTCTCTCCTCAATCATGTCACTTGCTCCTGCTCTCGGCGCGCATCTGCCTCCACGATCTTCTTCGTTATTTTTCTCGCTCTCCGAGGCCACGATGGTCCCGTCTGACGTCACCGCGAGGACAACAGGGGCTACTCGTGATAAGGGACAGGAAAGATAGAAGAGAAAGAGAAGCCATCTCCGGCATTAATCGGTCCGGCATGCAGGACCGATGTCGGATTTTGTTGGTCGGCTGGAGAACGACGACGGGTCGAATGATCAAGTCGACGAGTCGGGAGAGAAGTCACGGTCACGGCCTAATAGTGAAGACAAGAGAAAGGGAAGAAGTGGAGTGACGGTCTCACCTCCTCGCATAGGGCCAGCATGCGCCTGGTGCTCTCGAGCGACTGTGGACAGAACAAATTAATGAGCCAAGAGCATCGGCGACGCGGCGAGGCGGGACGAGCGAGGCTCGATAATAACCTCATCGGTAACTTGTTGAGCTTTGAACTGGAGCTCCTGCAGCTCGGTGCGGGGCGGGCCGGGCTCGGCCGCCTCCGCTGCTGATGTCGGCGCTGGCATCTTCCCTCTGCTGCTGGTTCGCTCTCGCTCGCTGCAAGTCTACGTCGTCAGCACGGCAGAGCTGGCACCTGTGAACGAGCAGCGGCCACGGATCAATTGCGATCAGCGAGTCGACGGACGACCGCGATGAGGCGAGAGAGGACGCGCGTCGTGCTCTGCCCCCCCCCTCTCTCTCTCTCTCACTCTCTCTCTCTTTCTCTGCCACTCTGTCCCTCAAGATTCGTCGCGACGCGAGCGATCGTTCATCGAGCCTGGCCCGTCGTCGTCAGGGTTTTTCCGCCGCGAGGCCAACCGAGCAAGAGAGCTCGCCGAGCCGAGTGTGCATCCGCGCGAGCGAGACGGCCAACTACAATAGAGCAGCCCGCGAGGCGTGCGCTTGCGCGCGTGCACTGCGCGTATAGCGGAAGAGAGCGAAAGGACCGAAAGAAAAACTTGCGAGAATCAATAGGGTGGCGCGAGCGAGGGAGGGCGGCTCTGCGCGGGCGCGAACTCGCGGCCACGTGCTGCCGCTGCTACTGCTGCTGCTGCTGCTGCTGCTGCTGCTGCTGCTGGTACCGTCGTGCCTCCGTCGAGGGCCTCTCCGAGTGGCGCCCCCCGGCCCGGGTTGTACTGTATTCGCGAGCCTACCCACCCACCCCCACCCTCCTGCCGCCCTACCGCTTCTTGTTGCCCCAACCCGTGCAACGATTGCCGTCTTGCGGGGAAGGTCGACGAATGTGGCGAGGACGCAGCTGGCCGACCTCCGACACTCGCGAATGGATCGTCCTGCCGAGATTCACGCGTGCGTGGTCCGAATGGCGGATACGCGATTGCGCCTTACACTGAAATAGCCGGGACTTTTCGGCTACGCAACTCGCCACCCGCTGTATATCTTTATTCCCGCGCGTGACTGAGCTGTACCTACTTGTCAGTACTCCAGATGAAGCTGCGACTTGCCAGCCAGCCCTCAGCTGGTCTGAGTGGAGAAAGAGAGAGAGAGAGAGAGAGAAATAGAGAAATAGAGAAAGAGAGAGAGAGAGAGGGAGATGGAGCCGAGGCGCGCGCCGCCAAGATCACGACTGCCTCAACAGCACGGTCAGCGGAGCAGTGACGGATATGTGCGCGCGCGTGCGTATATATGCGCACAAAGTGTAAGCTCGCGCACGCAAAAAAGCTCAGCGAAAGAGCGAGAGAAACGCGCCGACTCCGCGTGTCCGTCTGTCGCCGGTAGCGCCCCCTTTTGTGCGATAACACCTATATCCTGCCTGCATAGCCTCCTATTAGGCACGCACCACGTGCCCACCACTCCATTTCCACATTCCACGGAATCGTGCTTGCACCCCCCCCCCCCTCCAACTGCGATTTTATTCGGCAAGTGTGCCCACCCCACCACTGCACTTTTACTTTTACTCGAGCGCATACACGCACGGAGCTTCGTTAACTGAGCTTTCTCTCTTTTTTTTATTTTTTAATAACTTTATTGCGACGGCTCGACGTATCGACAGGTCCGCGTTGTTTACAAAATCGTCAATGCACTTGATCTTTTTTTTATAAAAGATCAATAGGATTTGTTTTACGTTTTATTGAAATGGAGGTTTATCTTTTAAAGTCGTCAAACTCGTTAACCGTGTGTCGAATAGTAAGAATCCTGAAAAGTTTACGTATATAAATAGAAATTGATTACGCTGTTACCATCGCAAGCTCTCCCGTTTCCGATGAGTTTTATGGACATGCGATTGTCAAGTGGTTAAGATCATGCAAATAAGTAATGCAACTGCTTATGAAACAACGACATGCGACGTTTCTTCGTACAGTTTCGATCTTTGACGTGACCCTCTTGCAGTCTACTATAGAAAACTGTATACAACTGTTGTAACAATTTAAATTTAAGTGTAAATCGACATTTATGTTAAAATTACGCGAATCTTTTATAGGAATAAAAATCTCATGATTTACCGAGTAGAATCAACGAGTGTCTAGAATAAATAAATATACATATATGTGCATTGGCATTTGTTTATCGTTATGAACATATTTACTTATATCATTAGAAGTGATTACATAACCGATTGGATAATTGGAAACGACAACCGAAGATAAAATAATATTACAAAGACACTTAGTAATGATAATTTACAACAACAAACAAACAATATCATTAAAAAATATACAAGTGTGATAATATTGGGGTTACCTCTGGATCAATTGTAACTGAACAAAAGAACAAAGCAAGAGTTTTTACATGGAATTTTCTAACAAGACACTCAATGAAAAGGAAAGCTGCACCATGCCTGACTAAAATATTTAAATGTCACCCAAATAGCTGCTGAGCCGAAAAATTGAAGACCACTAAATGAAAATTTTTCTTCTCCATATCCTGTGACCCTGGCAAAGCACGAAAAGGGCTGCGATTGTTTATTTTCGGTGGGTACGTCAATGAGATTGTTTAGTCACTACTATCCATTAAAATTGAAAGCTCGCTGGAGTATTCAGCGCACTCATTGGGCATGAAATGAGCCATTCGTTATCAAACGTTTGAAAAGTTAGCGATCGGCTTGTGCACTGCTATCTGCGAGCATTTGTCAGGCATGCGCGCCCACGACTGTATGTGTACTGACAACACATGGTAATTTCATTCCGTTAAAAGATTATCTCGCTCTCCTTCGGGTAATTATCGCAATTTTGTGCCTTTTGATTGGTCATTTCTCGCGACTTCTAAATAAAATTGCATGCAAATGGATTCGACTCGTCTGTTCCTGTTCCTTTAGTGTGCGTGCAACGTAGGTGAACCTATTCACGATGGTTCTGATAGTGCTATTTTTAAAGATGAACATTTCATTACGGAACTGCCATTGATTCTCGATACTTGTTCGTCATCATTTTGAACGATGCAATTACGATGATGTTGTCCGAAATTATTAAAAAAATACAATTATCAGTGAAGCTCGGACCATGAAATTTTCATTGGAACCTCTCTCCGAAATCCGAAAATTAGAAGTCTACAGAAAAGTACAAAATAGCGATGTCCTTCCCGAAATATAACAAGAGAAACTAGATGACCGATCTACTCGGATAAAATACGCTGTGGACAGTAAGTAGACCCGTGTGAATATCCCCCAGTAATTATTTACATAAACAGAAATACCGACGCTTTAAGTTTTTGTAAATATAGACATCTGAATGGTAACATGTGTTGCCAGATATGTCATTCCTGACATGGTTCTTCAATTGGTATATATATATATATATATATATATATATATATATATATATATATATATATATATACACACACCATTTATATATATATATATATATATAAACACACATGAACACGCGTGCGCGCGCTCTTTTCTTTCACTTTCGAAGGCGAGGTCATAGGGATGGGGGCAGAGCAAAGCGAAAAAGGTAAAAATTAGGGCGAAAGATTAAAAATTAATCGATAGGTTAGCTGCAACGAGAGGGTCACGTCACTATCTTTCCCACCCACTGCAGCAGTCAGAAGACACGAGAAAATAAACATGCAACGTGAGGATCCACGTACGAAACGTAAAGGACACGATCTAAAACCTGCGAAGTGTACCTATATCCTTAAACGACATGTCCCCAGCTACTAAAAAGCAGCGCGCGCATGTAAGGCCGCATCACATAGCCTTGATCTGTACGCGTACCTATATGTTTCGATGAACTTGGCTTTGATATTCGTTCGACGACAAACGAAAGAGCACAATAAAAAAACACACAAGAGACCGTCCTCTCGAAGCACCTGTCAAACTGAACGTTTATTAGCTCGCAAAACTCCAAGCTCACCTGCTTACTTTCACCAGTAGATCGATAAATCGAAAACTCGTGTGCGGATAACGTATGTGTGTGCGTCTCTCCTCTCTCTCTCTTTCGGTTATCTTGACACACCAAAAATCAATGCCACACTTGACTACGACGAATTCGGATAGGCTACTTCTATTCGCAGGTTCCGGCGGTTAAACTCACCAATTGACTGCGTTCGGCTCGTAAGAAAAGCACAAGAAAAACGGAGTAGACCAATTCACCAAACAGCTCTAAAAGAAGGCCGTTCCCGACTCCGCTGACGGCGAGTCGCGACGTCACGAGGAGCAAACGCTCAACACAGCGCCGTTTCCCTTTTTTTTTTCTTTCTTTAATATGTGTGTGTATTTCGGCGGCAGCTGCTAGTGCGCAAGGCGAACGTCGCTAACTCCCTCTATTGGCACTATTAAAACTAACTAAATACTTCGCCCGTACATACATCTCTCCAGATCTTAATTCCCCAGAGGAAGGGAGTACAAATATTTAAGTTGACACGAATAAATATCGTAACAAATCAAATTACTTGTTAATGTCAATAAACAATATAAAATCCAAAATTAATCTGTAAACGTATCATAATTATGCCACATTTTCAAAAACATTTTTAATATTTATGAATAGTCATGTAGTTCGCATAGCTGCATCTTTCACACATTCTTCCAGTATAATTCATTATATTATTAGACTTATAATGAAACTTAAATGCAAAGTTAATACATTTTTTTTTTCATCTGTATTCTGGAATTTATAATGCAAATATAGTGGGAAGATGCATTAAGTACCGTTATTAAAAAACATTTTTTTAAATGAAGCAATATTATTACAGTCAAAAGAACATATCAAGAAATGCAAAAGATTGTTTATGTGAAAAAGTGTTTGTAATTAGTTTGCCATATATCACAACTCTATTTTTTCCAACTATGAGTTGTATGCGCTGTAATTTAATTCTAATCAGCTACATTTTTATAATAATAGATGGTAGCCGGCTTTAGAGCCACTATAAGTGACAGATAGTCGTCACTTTGTTTATTATTAGGTGTGTGTAGAACAACGGTGTTATGTATGATATTCCTCCGTTTCAGCTTGCAATTGATCCACGCAAATGGCGCCTTCTTCAAATATTATTGTAATTTTTTTAAAAACTTTTGCGATTTTCGGTATGGTTTCATCCATTCCGATAACAATTACTTTCTACTAGTTATAATTATCAAAATAAATACATTGAATCTTTGAATAATAAGTGAATTATAAATGGATAAATATGATCTGCAAAAATATTATGCTTCGATTATGTAAATATGCAATAGTTTATTATATACTTTTACAAAAGATTATTCGAAAAGAGTATGTGTTTAAATTAAACGATACAAAAAAACGTTGTATTTTTGATGTAAAAATTAAGAATGCAGTTAAATGAGCCCCTTAATTCAAATCAATTAGTAAATGAATAGGAGTGTAGCAGTCCTATGTCCATCGCGCGGTTGTCTTATTTTTATATGCTTCTACAAAGGATTATGCGAAAGGGATAAGTATTTAATTAAACTAAATGATACAAAAAAACGTTGTACTTTCGATATAAAAATTTAGAATGCATTAAAATGAGTCTCTTGATTTGAAGAAGAGAGCATAAATGAATAAGAGTGCAACAGTCCTATGTCCATCGTGCAATTGTCTTATTTTAGCTTGATAGTTATTGCCTACTACAGCGCCCGTGTGAGACAAAAGCGAAACATCGTAGCTTGCTGCACGCAAGCAAGAGTTCCGACAGTGAAGTCAGTGCGACTGAACTGGAGTCGACTGACAGTCAATAAATAATCGCAAATTTAACGGCAATTATTAATTGTAAACTTCTGTGAATTCTTGTCTACAAGCTGCAATTAATCTCAATATTTTTAACTGTGTAAGCTTCAGGTAAAAATCAACTCGAATGCTTGCATGCTACTGTTTTTCTTCTTTAGCTATGTCGCTTAGCGTTCAGTAACCGTAACCGAGTCAATTCAGTACAGACTATTTTATCAACCTTTTCTCTTTTACATCAATGAAAAATATACAGTGGCGTCGTAAAGGGGTGATCACATAAGCGAGGGACCTACGCTTCGCTGCTAGGTTAGGCACGAGGTTATACTAGTACATTTTGTTATGTGATATATTGAAGTAGCGAAAGAGAGAGAGAAAATGAATGAGAATGAGAGTGAGTGAGTGACTGAGTGAGTTAGTTAGTGAGTGAGTGAACGAGCGAGTGAGGGAGTGAGCGAGCGAGCGAGCGAGAGAAAGAAAGAAAGGGAACGGCCTAAGTCCGAATCTTAAGCTGGTGCGTCTTGCTATTACGCGTGCAACTGTTCTTTGATACCCATTTAGAATACTTTTTTACATTGTATAAATATTGGATCACAATAAAAATTAAGTAAAATCTTTTGTCCTAAAAAAAAAAAAAAGAGGAAGACGACAATGTTGGCGAACGAATCAGCAATACATAGCTGTCGTCGCTAGTGTCGCATTGTCGTCGCCGCTCTGCCGCTGCTTTCCTCGGACGATGCTCAACGTTGGTGCTTATCTCATTCGGAAAAACGACATGTGCGTTCTGTCGCGATATAAAACAGCATTGAAAAAATAATTGTTCGCGTGATTACATACTACAAAGCAAACAAGACAAATGCCTGTAAGCATATTATCGCATTTACTTTAAATGCCAAGTCCAAATATTCTTTTGCTTGAGTCTCTGTCTTTAGATTGTAGACATCATCTATGCAACTACTTTGAGGTTAGGAAATGCAGTTAGCAGGTTCTTGTGTGCATGAGATTCAATTCCGAATCTAAGAGAGGTTACATTCAAGTCAAATATTGTAAAAAATTTAAATATTCTGCGTAGATAGAGGTTCAAAAGCGTTTAATCAATGAGAATAATTCGAGAGTTTTCAATAAAGAAGCACAAGTGTAGGAGAAAATTTAGCCGGAGAGTGAGCGATATATCGGAACGCGCGTGCGCGCACACATTTACGATAACACGATATATCGTTTTGGAGAGAGTACGAGAGAGCAGCACACGACCATCAGTGAGTGAATTCGAGTATTAGGCGAATCTAAAAATATGTAGAATGTTCGTTGAGGAAAATAGTTTGTCACGCTTAAGATTAGTGGCCAGTTAGGCGATAGATAAAGGGCACCCAGATAATCTGCGAACATAATCAGTTACTCGGGTATGAAAGCAAGTGAAGCAGAGTGAGATAGAGAGCGCATGTAAGGTGGATGTGTGCGTGCATGAGTGTAGCAGCGAAATAGCAGTGTGTGTGCACTGAGCGCTCTCGCGTGTATGAATATTGCTGTGTGCGGAGCCGCGATTGCATGTGCGTTAGTCGTTGTGTACGACGAGAGCATACACAGTTTAACACTATTAAAAAAAAAAATTGTCGACTGACGCTTGTCTGGTGCGGGGCCACCTTTGTTTTGTTCTAGCCTACAGTGTGAGACGCGCATTCGCGAGTAGTAGCAGCAGCAGTAGTGCAGTACGAACGAAAGGAAGCGAGTGCAATACAAGAATGCCCGAGTTGGCGGCGGGCCGTGCAACTCTCTGACAGCGAGGTTCTAACTCAGCTTCCATATCTCACTCCCTCTCCTCTCAGGATCAGTGCCCCCTGGTTCCTTGTACAGCCAGCCCAACCTCATAGTGGGCACAATGCCCTAACCAGTGAACAGCAAGTGAACCAGCCAGAGGGACGGACGAAAGCTTCGCCGCCGCCGCTGCGCACTGATCGCTACTGTGTTTTATAAGAAAAGAGAAAAGGGACTTGTGATCGCGTCGTCGTCGTCGTCGCCGCCGTCGTCGCCGTCGTCGCTCAGCCCGTGAACGCCGTGTGATGAGTGGCGCTGGTGGTGGCTACCGTGGTCGAGGCTTTGGACAACGGGGCAACCGGCCATCAGCCGCCAATGGCTTCGGCGGCAATCGCTTCTCTCATCCCAACCTAAAACAGCAGCATCAGCAAAATCGGCATCCAGCCGGTAGACCGCCACCCCACTCGGACTGGCAGTCGCAGCTACCACCTAGGGACTCCAACAGAGGCTACCAACAGCAATGGAGGCAGCCACCCTACCAGAAGTACCCACCCCGGCAGCAACCCTTCCAGTCCGAATGGGACAGACAGGGCCCTGGACCCAACGATAGGGATCGAGATAGAGAAAGAGATAGGGACAGAGATCGAGAGAGAGAAAGAGCTGAGAAGTATCCCCGCAATGAGCGGTCTTATCAGAACTTCAGAGGCAGGGGCCATGCTTCCAGAGGCCAGAATCAACGCTACTCTGGTCCTGGCAGGCCATATTCAGGTAGGGATTCGTCTCCTTATAATAGTGACAGTGACTCCCCCCCACCCAGTGATAAGCCACAGGAACCTTTACGTGGCTCAGAGGAGGAACGACAACAGAAAATAACTGAAGCAGCAGCCAAGCTCAAAAAGAGTCTATCAAACATTACGGAAGAAGAGAGAGTTAATTTATGGGGCAATGATTTGCAAACGGCTGCTGTACCTACCTCTGCCAGAGTCAATGCTGAGTCCACCAGTGTTGATACTAACCAAGAGGAACTCAAACTCACAGAAGATGATTTCAAAGACATTGGTAGAAGAGTTGAAGCTGATTCAACTACTAAAATTGATTTTAATGAATTCTCTCTATCCACCAAGTCAGTGGTTGAGGATGATGAATTTCTGGTGGACAGTATTGGCCAGCCAGACATGGATGACTTTGGGATGGCTCTCAATGCTCCCATCCCTGAATTTGAAACTGAACAAAGTTTGTCTCAGACTGGAAACCTATCATCGGTGAGCGATCAACATTCTCACTTGGAAGACGAGTCTGCTGCTGGTGATTTTAGCAGTACTCTACAACCAGTAAGTAGCAGCCAGTCAAAGGGCAATGCTGCTGAAGAACCCATCCGTGATTCTGAGATTCCTAACGAGGAGTCGCAGGAAAAAGTTAAACGAGATGATAATTTGCCTACCAAACACAGTAGCAAATCGTCCAAGACGGAGCAGAGTTCCGCAAAATCACCAGCATTTTTCGACCCAAATTTCAGCACAGCAACAAGCACGAACACAATGCCCACGTCGACGACGAGTGCAGTACCCGTGGCTATGTGTCCGCCGCCATTTACCTCTGTTGATTATACGTCCACCACAAAATTCACACCAACACTAGGCTATGCGCCTAGACTTTCAAGCACGTGGCCATCTCCCTTCGAAGATTCAACTCTCGGTAAGTTTTTCGTCGATATATTTTTATTAAATCGTACTCTGTTAAAATGTTCATTTTCAACGTAATTCTATTTCCAGAGCTGCCAGCCAAATTCGATAAACCACCACCGCCTTTAGGTACCGTTCCGAAGAAAACCACATCTACTGATACAAGCAAGAGTAAAAAGGACTCGGAGGTGCTCCAACCGCCACCGGCCTTTGATCCACGTAAACCGTTAGTCAGCAGTAGCAGTGTCACCGAGGAGGTTCAGCAGCCACCTCCTGTCTTTGATCCGCGCCTGTCATTAAGCGAGCGTTCCACGCTTATGCTCTCCAACAATACGAAACCATCAATGGCTCCAACGATGATCATGCCAAGTTATCCACCACATTATATGACTCCGGTCGCGCCAGTCGTACCGCCTCCGGTTGTAGCGCCTGTAGTTGCCCCCGTCGTCCCTCCTGTACCAACCATGAGTTATCCCGGAGTGACTGTGCCACCGCTACCGGTACCACCTATAATAAATCCACCACCGGTGATCAGCAAACCCGCAACACCTGGCAATCTCACCATGAGTTTCGACGAGGATGGTCTCGAGGAAATGCAAGAGGCTATGGAGTTTGCTCAGATGATGGATATGGGCGAGGCCAAGCCTCAGGAACCTGATGAAGTGACGGAAGCAGCTCTCTCGCCACATTTGCCTGCAACGACAGTCAGTCAGGTACCCAAACCCATCTCACCACCGTCAGTGACAACCTCGAGCCTTCTTCCTCCGATTGATACCAGCACAAGTTTGCCAGTCTTAGCGAGTTCCGCTTTACTGACCACGATGCCATTACCGCTATCCACGCAGCCAGTGGCAGTATTAAGCACCGCTATAACTACTGCTGGAATCACGAGCACTACTACTGCAGCACCGAATACCAGCTTGGACATACTCAAAATCTCACAGCAGATACTCATGGACAAGCATACCACTGAAGATCTGCTGAGGAGTACTCAACTGCTCCAAGCTACACAAAATTTGACGGTACCTACTGCTGCTACTGCTGCGGTTGTCAATCCTGTCGCTGCAGTCGTCAATCCCATCGTTGCGGCTGTTAATCCCATTGCTGATATTAAACCCACTCTGGTGAAGCCACTCACTGTTTCCGAGAAAAGGCCAGCTGCTGGCGACGAGGCATCTTGGAAGCAACGTGTGCTCAATCGTTTCCTTAAGATGAGTAGAAATGAAATACGCAACATGCTCAATCACTCCAGTCTAAGGAAATTCGACATTGCTATGAAGCATCTGGTGAAAGAGAAGAAGAGTTCGATCAATCAAGAAATGCGCATTAATGAGGATGAGCGAATCAGGGAAGAAGACCGTGATGAATTTATGACACAGCTAAACGCAATGTTAGATCCCGACAAAACTGACAAGATCGACATCACCAATTTGCCTACAGAATTTATTCACCAATTGAATGCGGTTCTTCAGCTCGACCCTCTTCAGTACGAAGGAGTTCAGCCTGTTATTCAACCGACGTTGACTAATCTTGTCGCTCCTGTACAGCCAATTTCTACCGCGCATCTCACTGTTCCAACGACAACGGAGCAACCTATTGTTCCTATCATTCAACCAGAGGTATGTATCATTATATTACTATGAATAGTCGTTGAATTATTATTTTGCAAAATCTATCAATTCACTTACATACTAAAAGACGTGAAATAATAAATTGGTCAAATTCTACGGATGTTAATTAAATAACATTCACATTTTGTTAAATTATTTTACAAAATTATTGTGAAAGACGTAATGGTCGATAATGAATAGGTGGTAAAAAAAAATCAATATAGAAATTTTAAAAGCGAATTTGCATTCATATCGCATATGTTTAAAGATACTTGTAATTGCAGGCGACAGTCGTCAGAAATGTACCGGATGTAGCTGCAACATTAGCAGCACACCAGGAGCGTCGACGAAAAAAGGCTGAAGCGAAACTTGCAGCTGAAGCGCACCATGCGCAACAAAAAGAAAAACGAAAGATTCATGTAAAAGTTATTCGTGAAAACCATAAAGTACCAGCGTCATCCGCCTACGAACAGCAAGCAGCGCTAGCTAAGCATCATTCCAAGTCAGTAAGGAATCGTATGACTTCGACTGCCACGCAAATAGAGGAGGATTACTCGTCAATGACGCAGTACACAGCCACGCAAGATTACATATTACGGGAGCACCACAAAACCACGAATAAACAATTAACGACGATTAGAACAGTCGATGTAGCTGAAAGCCCCATGGTGAACATGGCCGATATTGATGATATTTTCTCTGCAGGCATAATGAGACAAAGGCAGGCAGCCAAAGCGCCCTCGCCACCACCTGTAGCTCGAGGTGCTTTTTCGCTTGATGATAATCTTGATGATATCTTTTCTGCGGGGATGGCCAAAGCCAAAGCATCTTCCAGCCAAGTCGCCGCCACTAACGAAGCTAAAGGCAGTTTATATCAACGTCAACATCATCATCAACAACATCAACAAACACAGCAGCAACAAAATCAGCATCAGCACCACCAACCGCAAGTTAATAGTGGTGTCGCGGTAAGCGATTACGAGACGGATGCTGTTGAGCGTTGGATGAGAAAAGAGCAAGAGCACATCGATGCATATAGAAATCTTACGAAAGAAGAATGGGACGCAAAGTACGGCAAGACTGGATTGGACCGTAATGCATTTGAGCGCGAGCTCGAGGTTACGTTCAACAAGTTTAGCCGAAGACATGGTATTGACTTTAATAATGAGGCTTTGCACGCTGCTCCGCAGCCAGCGCCTGAGCCACTACCGCAGCAAGCTGTACCTCAGGTGCAACAGCAGCAACAGAAACAGCAGCAGCAACAGCAGCAACAGCAGCAGCAACAGCAGCAACAACAACAACAACAACAACAACAACAACCTCAACAACAGCATCAACAGATACAGCTGCAATTGCATCATCAACCACAACAGCCTTCATCCCGAGATTTAGTAAATATCGTTGTCAGTGAAGATGAGTCATCGAGTTCGTCATCGAGCTCGAGTGACAACGAGACGCCACATTCGCAGCAACAATTACTAAAAAAGATTAAAGAAAACGAGAAAATTGCCAAGATAAAATCGATAAATGAAGCGATAAGGGATGAAGTAGCTGCTGAAATTGAGCGATACAAAAAGAATAAACAGAAGGAGCGTCGGTCCCGTAAGCGTTTGCGTCGTAAGAAAGAGAAAAAAGAACGCCGGAGGCACAAGAGTGCTAAGAGAAAGCATAAGAAACGTTCAAGGATTAATGACGAAAGCGAAAGCTCCGAGACCTCATCGAGCGACGATGAACTAGACTCGCTCGGGGCGTCGCTTGGAAGATTACAAAGGCTACTCACCGAGGAGGAAATTAAAAAGGAAGTGAAAGAGGAGCCTGAAGTTGCGGCTACTTTAGCTGCAGTGGCTGGCAGGACGGTTCTCTTCAAAGATCCCTCAAGGATGCAGTCTGGTGAAACGGCACGACCTTATCCTCTGAAGAGGCGCATGAAACAGCAACAGCATACACAACAGCTGGACACCTCGGAACAGCATGTCAGAAAAGTCACATTCTCAGATAAGGTTATTCAACACGACATTTCAGACAAAGTGATCGCCAAAAAGGTCGCAGCCGAATCGAACAAAACTAAGGTAGCACCGGCTGCTATAGTTGGCCCATCTTTGTTAAAGCCGACCGTGCAGACAACGATAAAGTCTAAGCCTACGATACCTGTTCAGGCAACGGTACAGAGTAGTACAGTTGCTCCCGCTCAAGTGGCTAAACCGAGCGTCAAGCTGCCACCTAAGCCAGGCGCCGCCCTCGCAGCTGTAGCCGCAGCAGCAGCAGCTGCCGCAGCTGCAGATACCTCTGCCGTCAAATCTGTTACCACCTCGGTAGAATTGGTTCAAAAGGCCAAAACGATCATTGACTCGAGTCAACCGACGCAGTTGAAGAAGCTCGTGACAACCACTGCTGCCTCAACCGTTGTTGTATCAACCACTGTTGTCTCCAGTACTATAACTTCCACCACTGTAACCTCAACCTCTGTCTCATCGATCCCTGTTGTATCAATCACTGCCGCAACTACTATTACCCCAAGTGTTGTCACCGCAGCTGCTGTATCTCCTGTCCCCCCAAGTGTTGTCGCCACCGATTCCGCAGCAACTAATGAGACTAACGAAGCTAAAGTTGAAAACAAAAAGGAGGAAACTGAGGAAGACATACTTAAGAGTATCGAAGAAGCTTGCAAGGAAAATTTGCAATCTGTGGAACCAGAGATAAAGGATATAGTCGGAACGGTCAAGATACCGAAGCTCCAAGAAGTTAGTAGACCTACTGATCCACGCAAAAAAGCACGTAATCAACCGAAAGAAAATACTGATGCAAATGATCCCAACAAGCCTAAAAAGTTAGATATCAAGGCTTACAAGGCGCGTCAATTAGAGAAGCAAAAACAAGAGCAGGAAAAGATTAAACAGTTCGAAAAGAATCCCTTATCAATGACGCAAGATCTCCTCAACATTCCTACAAAGAAGCGCACCGATCAAACGCAAGAGACAAAAGAGCTACAGCGGCAACAAGACAACGCTGTTACAGTTGAAACCCAAAGGAATACGAAACCGCCTGTAAAGCTCAGGCGACATGGTATCCATGATAGAGTTAAAGCGAAAATGGAAGCTGAAAAGTTGGAAAATGAAAAGAACAATTTATCGAGTAACAAGAATCAGAAAACTGATGATGATGGTTCTGCTTCGACAGCACATGCCGCTACATGCCCTGCGAATCATTCTCCTACCAAAACTTCGCAGTTAGATCAAGGCACTAAAACGAAGAAAAAGATCTGTAAACGCTGCATAGCGGACAGTCATAAATCCAAGAGTATCAAGTCTGATGGTAAAGAGATAAAGCCTAAGCTGCTCAGTGCCAAAGTTAGTACCGAAGAGAATAGGAGTGTAGACGAGGTGAAAGAATTATCAGCCAAGATTGAAGAAAGACAACATCCTTCTATGTTAACGGCAGTCAGCGGTAGCAATTGTGAGGTTGTCGACAGTTCTTGTATCGAAACAGAAATTGTTGATTCGCCATTGACGTCTCTTACTAACGATGGATTTATCGGTGATTTTAACGAAATAAAAGATTCCGTTGATTTAACAACGGTAAATGAGACTTCGTCAACGCAGGTACTTTTAAGCGATGGCCTACCCGACACTTTACCCGACGAGAAAATAAGCAAGTCCGTTGACGGCATCGAATCGATCCGCGAGTGCATCGTATTGCCCGTATCTATGCCCATAGTCGTGACCGTGACTGAGCCGGTAATTGTACCAGTGGTACAACCAGTGCTAACCGTGGATACGACTGAGCCTTCAAATGTGATCGAGAATAAAATAGAAGAAATAGTTCCCTCGGAGGCTGACGAGACTGTACAGCTCAACACCAAGGATACAGAACAACTACCGCCGACAGATATCGATGAGGTCGATTTTCTCATTCAAGACTTCGTCGATATTACCGAGGAGGAAGCTGTTGAAGCTGAACGTCAGAAAGAGCTCGAAGCCCAACGTCTGAAAGAGCTTGAAGAACAACGTCTACAAGAGCTCGAAGCGCAACGTCTACAAGAATTGGAAGAACAACGAACAAAAGAGCTTGAAGCTCAACGGCTGAAAAACTTGAAGCTTGAAGAACGTCTTCAAGAATTAGAGGCTCAACAATTGAGAGAACTTAAGGAACAACGTACGAGAGAGTTGGAAGCTCAACGTCTCAAAGAGCTCGAAGCTCAACGAACAAGAGAATTAGAAGCTCAGTGTATTAAAGAATTTGAGGCTCAGCGTGCAAAAGAATTGGAGGTTCAGCGTGCAAGAGAGCTGGAAGTTCAGCGGATGAAAGAACTGGAGGCTCAACGTGCGAAAGAGTTAGAAGCTCGATGTGCAAAACAAGAGCTGGAAGCTGAAAGTGCAAAAGAGCTAGAACTCCAACTAGCTTTGACTGACAAAAGCGACTTGCAGTTTAATGCACAAGACGATGAAACTACCGTTAAAATTGTACTACCTTCGGTAACGCCGCTAGTAGTACAAACTGTCGATTTGAACCAGGTTTCTTCTTCTGATCAGCAAGTCTCACATGAGGACTCATTGTTGCCAGAGCTCATTTCCAAGGAGATTGCATGCTCACTCGGACAGGCACAAGTTGAGAACGAAGATTCGGACGACAAAGCAGACGCTAATACAACGATTAATCTTTTGCACGACCTGCAGACTTTCATCGACACCTCTCAAGACTGTATAACAGAGCCTGCAGAAGAAGAAATTGCAGTTACAGAACCCGTTGTAATTTCATCTGTATTATTGGTTGATCAAAAAGATACTGAAATGATTAGTGTGTCAGGTGAAACGGTTGAGATTGCTTTAATGGAGCAGCAACAATTGGAATCTCCAACGCCGCTGGAAACAGATGAGACTGTTGAGTTGGATGGCACCGGTTATCGGCAACTGGGGTCTCATCTTGAGTTGAATGCACAAGACAAACATGTGGAAATCCAAGTGTCTTCTGAGGATCCCATTGAAAAGTCGCTATCTCTACTGGACATGGACATGAAAATAAGTCGTCAAAGCGGCGCTGAGCAGCAAGAAAATTGGTTGCCCGGCATCGCGAAGAATGGCGGCAAATCTTTTGAAGAGGCCGCTAAACGAACAAGTGAGTTTACCGACACAGCGCAACCAATAGGCGACCGCGTAGATGTTACGTCGATGGCGGCAATAGCGACTACGCAAGCGCAAATTCAGTCGCAAGCTCGAGCTCGGCCCATCATGATCTCCGATACGACTTTGAAAACGCCGATCACGATTATACACCTGGGTAAAGACGGTAGCAAGAAATTCAATAAAGTTGACTTGCCATTGTCGCTTGGTAGCGTCGCTTCAGGCAGTATACCCAACACTAACAAAGAGACCATGCACACCAACCCTGTTGCTACTGTTGTTGACAGTGTAGACCAAGTGCCGCCACAGATTGTTATCTCAAACAAAGCGGATGACGCGTCACTACGAGAATCTTCATCGATTCACCGCTCGATCAATCCTGTTCCGCAGGTTAGTAAGATACTACCTAAACTTCAATCTTGTTTGCAACCTCAAATTCCTAATGAATTAATGTTTGATTTGTCAACACAGCAACACCAGCAACTGATGGATGAGCATCTTCAACAAAACATTAACTCGCAATCCAAAATAACATCACAGGTCACTAATATCTCGAATAATTCTGAACCTTTTGTTGAAAAGTCTGAAAGTTTTGAAAGCAACATTCATACCCATCAATCATCTACTGACCGATCAGACAAGAATCTTCATAAACTACACAACAAACTCAAGACCAAACACAAGCACAAAAAGAACAATATTCCTACTTCTAAAGTGCCAATTGCTGCACTCATGGATGAAGCTATAACTAAGCCAGTTCAACTCAATACCAGGGAGAGTATTGTTACAAGACTCTATGAGATTGATCAGGAGTGCATGAAGTTAATGCAAGAGAAGTTGAAACTTTATCAACTACTTCAAAATTTAAAGGCTACAAATAGTGATCAGATAAGTTTTGATATTCAAACTACAAGCCAACTTCATGATTTCCAAATACCAGATCCTACGTCTGCATTACTTAATGTACAATCCAATCCTCTTCTGAAATCAACCGATAGACTTATAACTTCAGCTGATTCTAAACAATCTGAACATAAGCCAGATTCAAAGGGACAAAACAATAGCGCAAGTGAACATGATACTGATAAGTCTGATTATGAGAAAGATAAAGCAATCAAGGATATGAAAAAATATCGATCCAAGGATGGACATTCAACAATCAACCCAATAAAACTCTCAAGAGATGAATCCCTTGATAAGGACAAAGCATTCAAATCGCCTCATAAAGTTAAATCTTCCAAAACGGGTCATAGACTTAGAGATACAAGTGAGAGCAAAGAAAGCTTAAAGAAATATGACAAAAACAGTAAAAAGATTGATAAAAAATCTAAATCAAAGCAAAAATTGTCTAAAGAGTCCGATTCCGAGTCAGATTATGATAAGAAAATTGAAAATGCACATACTTCTGATGGAGATTCTGATGTTAAGACTCAAATGGAATGTGTTAATAAGAATAAGAAAAAATCTCTACAAGGTAAGACTTATTAGTCTTATATTAGTGTTATTAGTAGATTGATAAAGGACACATACTCAAGTTCATATTTATATTCTAAATATTCTATTACTTTTTGGGCTGCTAAATTCTTTTTTTACTTTTCATTAAGAAATGAATATTTATATAAATAAAATCGAATATTTTACACTTATAGCGGAACAACAAACAAAAGACAAAACAAGGAAAGCTACAACAAAGTCAACGAAATTAAAAAATACTGAGGCAGATTCATCATCAGATGATTCAGATGTTGATTTAGCTACTAAATTAAAGAAAAACTCACAGTTGAAACGAAATTCCCGCAATAAAAAGTCAATTACAGGTCAGTTTATAATCTTCTGTAATATAGCTTTGGAAAAATAATACTAATGGATTAGAATATCAAAATGATATTAATTGCTTACAAGACTAATATTATTGCAAAGAAACGAATCTTTATGATATAAGTATTATGACATTACTATCAAAGTGCTTTTTTCTATTTTATTACAGATTCTGTAAAAACTGAAACCAAAAACGACAAGCCCAGTAAAAAGCTTTCAAAATCCAAATCAACAAAGAGCAAAGAAATGATTGAATCAGATATTGATTCGTCTGAGGCAGAAACTAAATCTTCTGATCGCAGTACTAGTCCCAAGCGACCAAAAAGTCGAGCTGCTAGTAAATTGTCAGACAATATCCAAAATGACAAGGAGAAAAATCTTAAAAAGCATGATTCCAAATCAGCGTCAAAACAAAACAAAGCAGGTAATTATAATTTCACGGAGCAATAATTTCAAAAAGAAATTTTCATTATTATATTTTGTATTACTAATCATTTCATAATTTTTTCATATTTTTATTTTCTATTAATAGAGTTTAGTAAAAATGATAAAAAGAAAGTTGAAAAGTCAAAGATTCATGATACAAAATCAAAATTATCCGACTCTTCTATCAATAAAGTAATCAAAAAGTCAGATGATGATTCTGAAATTGACGTTAAAACGGAAACTCGCAGTGTTAGTCCCGCACCCAGGACTCGTCCAAAAAGTAGAGCAGCCAAACCTATTAAGTCAGATGATAGTTCTGAAATTGACGTTAAAACGGAAGCTCGCAGTGCTAGTCCCACACCCAGGACTCGTCCGAAAAGTAGAGCAGCGAAACTCAACAGGTCAGATGATGATTCGGAAACTGAGGTTAAAAAGGAAACTCGCACTGCTAGTCCAGCACCTAGGACTCGTCCGAAAAGTAGAGCAGCGAAACTCAGCAGGTCAGATGATGATTCGGAAACTGAGGTTAAAAAGGAAACTCGCACTGCTAGTCCAGCACCCAGGACTCGTCCAAAAAGTAGAGCAGCGAAACCTATTAAGTCAGATGATAGTTCTGAAATTGACGTTAAAACGGAAACTCGCAGTGCTAGTCCTGCACCGAAGACTCGTCCAAAAAGTAGAGCATTAAAGCCCATCTCAAAGTTAAATGTTGATTCAGAAATTGAATTGGAATATAAAACTGGAGCTGCTAGTCCTGCTGTCAAAACTCATCCAAAAAGTAGAGGAACAAAGCCTATCAAGAGTGACATTTCAGTATCAAAATCGAAAATAAAAAGTCGTGAAACGATATCAGACGAAAGCGATTCTGAAGACGATGATAAAAGGTTGCCCCATCAAAAATCAGCCAACCAAATCAACGAATCGAAATTAACATCAGATAGCGACAATGATAATTCAAATTTCAATCGCAAAACATTCGGTATGATAAATACTATATTTTCTCATCCTATTTTTATAACTAGTTTTACCAAATTATATTTTTAAAAGTTAAAAATTTATTTTAATATAAAATAATGTAAGTTATTGGTCCATTATGTTCCACTGTATTAATGATGAATCACTTATCCACCTGAGCATAAAACAATTAAAATTCGAAACAATTTATTTCTTTTTCAAATGTAGATATCACCAACAAATCTGAAATGGGAATAGATAACAGTGTGACTAGCAAATTGTTAATGAAAAAATCGTCAAAACGTATTAAATCGGATGATGATTCTGACGTCGAAACAAGTTCAGTAGCAAGTTCGAAAGGTAAAACAAATGAAACTAAATATGCTACATCTCTTGTTGCGGGTCGTCAGTCGCCAATTAAAAGATCATCTAAACGTATTGAATTGGATGATTCTGACGTTGAGGCAAAGTCTAGTTCTAAAGCATTACCTTTTTCTAATAAAATGAAAGCTGAAGACTCCTCTCTGATTGGTAAGGAATTTGTTATGTTACCTACTAATAAAAATTGTGTAATTTGAATCATTAATAAATGATATTCTTTAATTTATAGAGCAAAACGACCCATCGCAAGGTGATATAGAGCTAATTGAGAAAATTGCATCGACAACCAACAAATATCCGTTAGAAGATTTACAACAAACAAAGAATACAATGAGTAAAGCAGTAACAAAAGACTTTTCTGATAATTCCGAAAATCTGAAAAACACTGCTGATGAAAATAAGCACCTGGATTCCATTGAAATTTCAGCGCCAAAGAAAGATGACAACTTCAATGAAAATTTTCCGACCCTTTCTTCAATCCATAAAAATGGTATGATAAATCTAGACTACTGATTACAAACATAAATATGTATTTCATAAATGAAAGTTTTTTTAAATTTAGCATAGGTAAGATTTTAGCATTCTTATCTACTGGAAATAATGTTTAATGATTGTTTATTATCTAATTTAAATGATATTCTTTAGTAGAATCATTTCAAACTAAGCTATTCACTGTTTATGCTATAGTCAAAATGATTTGCATTGAGATAAATACGTATTCTTCTATTTTTCTTCTATAATGTTCTATAATTTTCTTCTATAAAAGGAGATGGACTAATAAGTAAAGTTAGTTTATTCGTGATTTGATTGGCTGAAAATAGTCACGTGGTACATGACGGTACATGTGTATATGGATTGCACAGTTTAGGGCGCGCGAAACACACTGTGGATGACTAGTTTTCTAAAAAATACAATAAAGAAATAGTCGCTATTTATCATATGATCTATTTTTATTAAAAAGTTATTGTATATTTTATATCGAAATATCTACTTCAAACAAAAGTTTAATCAACTCTACACATTTCAGCCGATGAAATCACTAAGCAACAAAAAAGTACAAGTGATCAAGATAATAATGACAAAAAGAAGAGTAACATTGAAACTGAATCAAAAATCGAAATGCTTGGACTTACAAGTAATCTTGGTACTAACACCGATGATGATGAAGATTCAGAAGTTGCTGGTATAAATGAAAGATTTACTCCCAAATCAATGGTAGAAAACCTATCAAAAAGTCGTGCTAAAAAGAAAAAAGAACAGGTCGAAGATGACCCGTCCTTTGAAACTTTAAAGATAGGTTAGTTTTAAATTCAACAAAATATTGAATACAAAATTTTTATTTTCTAACATTTTTTGAAATTTGTGAATGTAAATATTTTTTGTGTAATAAAAAAAAACTTCATATTTTTTTCAGAACTTAGCTCTCGTTCTAAAAGTCGAGCCAGTAGTCGAGCCGCCAAATCATCAAAGCTGGTTGAAAAAGTTCAAGAACCTGCACAGCGCTCGAAGAGTAGGGCAAGTAAAATGCTTGATAATAGTAAAGAGGATGGTAGTTACAAGCTGAAAGAAGCATCGATATCGGTTGAGAAAGTTAAAGGAGTACAAAAGTCAATGATATATTCTGATGATAGTACTATGGATACATTTGACCAACAATCCGATGTCCCGAAAATTATTACTGGTAAAGGATTAGCTCAGTTGGAAGAATCTCTCAAGAAAGAATCAAAGAAAAAGAAAACATCATTAAAATTCCTCTTAAATCCACAAGCACATGAAACAGTAGGCGAAACAGAAGATTCTGATCTTTCATCGGTAGATGAATTTGACAGTGAAGTACCATCACGAGGAGGTAAAAAGTTCAAAATCGTACCGGAAGAAATTTTGAAAAGATACGATGAAACCATTGAGTTTGTCATTAAAAATTACGATCCAAGTTTATTTTCTTTCCGTGACCATGCGAATATTGATTTAACGAAAGATACAAATGCTGGAGTTGAAAAGAAAGAAAAATCGACAAAAGCTGCTAAAACCAGTAATGCAACGAAAGATACAGATAAACCATCCGATATCAGTTTAGATAAAAAATTAGACAGTCAATTGGACGATAGTAATTCGAGAAAAATGGTTAAAGAGCATGACAGCAATGAAGAAGAGGTGGATACAGGCAACAAAAATAAAATCAAAACAAGTATTTCAAAGATGACCATTGAAAAAGAGACTGAAAGTAACGAGGAAAGTCATGAAATCAAAAAGATTGAAAATATTAGCAAAGAGAAAGAAACGTTTGAGTTGGAAGAAAGCGATGAAGACAACAAAAGTACGGATAAAGAAACTCTTGCTAGTAGAATTATTGAAGAAACTTCATTCACATATGGAGGTTCTCCTTACGTTGTCTTAGATAACCTTGAAGAAACGAATGAAAGTGATTTGCCGTCAGAAGGTGGAACTGTTACTAAAGAGCATACAGTACCATTCACTTACGAAGGCTTACCTCTGCCAAAGGATATTGTTGACAGTTGTAGTTCTATGGGAAGTAGCTCGAATTTCCCGTCGCCCAAACCTGATGAGCCACAAGCTGAATCAGTTGGTGAACCGAAGTTGCAAAATCTTACCAAGGAATCTGTCAGCGTAGTCGTTGAAGAACAACGTCGACTAAAAGCTGCTAAAGATAATATTGTTGATAAAGACATGGGATTGAAAAGTGAACAAAAAAAGAGCGAGGATAAATCAGAGAGTTTTATCGATGAAAACAAGACGAAGCGTAAGCGTAATAAGTCTGTTGATCAAAAGCCAAGCTCAACTAGTAAAAGGAGAAAAATCTCTGAGTCATCCGTCGAAAAAGAAGAAAATTCTGTGCCTAGTCGCAAAAGAGCACGCACACAAAAAGCCCAAAAAGAAGCAACATTGGAATATGAAAAACGTTCGAAGAAAGGCCGCGAAAGAACAAATAAACGCAAAAGAAAAATGTCAATTTCGGAAGTTGATAGAGAAATAGCAACGTCGTGCAAAGTGCATCTCACAGATCTTAAATATTCATTACTTCGTGCCCACATTAGCCCCAGTATCTTGCGTAAAATAGGAATATCAAAAGTTCGTAATATCCATCTTATCCAACAAGCAAGTTCATCAGATCTAAAACGCAAAGCAGTTATTGAAAAAAATGCTCAATGGAACCCCAATGTCGACGACAGTAAACAGAATATCAGTAAGAAAGGAACTTCGTCAGATTCAAAACGCAAAGTGCTAAACGAATCGAGTACTCAAAAACGAACTAATTATGATAGTGACGGCAATGCTAGCACGAGAGGAAGTTTATCATATTCAAAACGCAAAGTATTGTCCGAAAAAAATATTAAACGTAATAGCGATGATGATAGCGAAGACGATGTTAGCAAGAAAGGAAGCTCATCAAATTCTAAACGCAAAGCATCATACAGAAAACGCATTCAACGTATTAGCGACGATGATAGTGAAAATGATGTCAGCAAGAAAGAGAGCTCGTCGGATTTTAAACACAAAACATTTCCCGAAAAAGACATCCCACAACGTGTTAGCGACAATGACTGTGAAGATGGTACAAGTAAAAAAGGAATTTCTTTAGACTCGAAGTTGCCAGCGGTATCCATAGAAAGTGTTACGGAACATAGTAACATCGCTGACAACAAACATGAAGTTAGTAAGAAAAGCAAAAAAATATATTCTGAAGCAAGTGTCGAACCTCACAGTAGCGACGATGATAGTAAAGACATGATCAGCAAGAAAGAAAGTTCATCAGATTCCAAGCAGCAAGTACTATCAGATCAGAATATGTCTCAAGATATTAGCTTTGTTGGAAATGAAGAAGATAGTAGCAAGATAGAAGACTCACCAGATTCGGCACGCAAAGTGATTTCCGAAATCAATGTCGACCAATCTGATGAAAATGAAGATAGTTCTAGTAAGGAAGATTCACAGCCAGAACTGATACGAATTCAGTCGGAAGAAAAACTTGAGTTCATTAGCGAGGTATCGAATTCAGAAAGAGAACAAACTGTCGAGATCGAAGAATCAGACATCGAAGTAGTAGATGAGCAACCAATTTATATAAGGTCTACTGGTAATAACGATGAAAATGTTGATCTAAGTGAACAACTACCAGAGCCAGAACTTTCTTCATCTCACGAAGACAACGACATCGAAGAGATAAGTTCTTTGAAAGCATTCCAAGAGACGATCGAAGAATCGGAAATCGTTTTGATCGAAGAAATAAAAAAAGCTGCCGCATCTGTTGTGAACAATGTCAACGCTTCGAATCTACCTGTAGAGTCGATGGAAATGGGTGTTGGGCATACCTATCGTCACATTTTACCTAGATCAATGATCGAAGCACAGGTGGTGGTTGAAAAAATGATCATTCCAGCAAGATCTACCAATGCTGAGTCAGGTACAGCTGCTTCTCACGTGCAACATGATGATGATATACCTGAAAGGATTGAATACAATCATCATAAAGGTCCAATATTGAATATCAAGGTAAAATAAAGTAAAGTTATTATTTCATTGTGCATCAATTTTTGACGCAATGAATGATTTATTTTCCTCCTAACGAATACTAACAATACTAAACATTGTTTGAAATTTATAGGTTTTCGAGGATACATTCTTGGCAGCAAGTAACGATGGCTCAGTCTATCAGTACGATGCATCATCCAATCAATTATTAAATACTTTTAGTGGACACACCGCTGCAGTGACATGCCTTTGTATAGCTCGCATCGATAGCGGGGACTCTAAAAAAGAGTTACTTTATTCCGGTTCATTGGATGGAAGTCTACGTTGCTACAACATCAGGGTAAGAAATATAATATGATTTTATATACGAACTCTTAACACAATTAATTGATGATTAATCAATTATGTTATTGATCAATTTATCATTAATGTAATTTACAGACTGCCTTAGAAATGCAAATTAACGAAGTCAACAGCCCAATTCAGTGTATGGACCAAGCTTGGGGCACGATTTTTATAGGCACTAAGTCCGGCAGTATTTGTCGTTTTAATATTAAAGTATGAATACTTCATTTATAAATTATTGTTCCACTTTGTAATTATTAATGTATTGCTTTTCGTGATAGTCGGGCACCCTCAAACCAGATTCCATTCAGTCTTCGGAGAAACCAGTGATGGCTCTAAAAGCAACAAACGAAGGTGCAAGAAAAGTACTTGTCGTGGCTTCACGCAATCAAAAGCTTACCATCCGAGATGCTATGACTGGTCTTGTACTAAGGACAATTAGTGGCCAAAAAAATTACACTATTTATAGCCTACTGAGAAACCATAGTCTTATATATTGTGGTACTAGCAGTACGTCTATTCCGGTTTTCGATTTTATCGTAAGTTATAACAATTTTTACTTTTATCTAACTGTCAATTAGTTAGTTACCTCATCACTCAAAGCACTCTTGTATTTTTATTTTCAGACCGGGGAGCAAATAGTTCACTATGACGCGAGTGTTGGCATCGTTTGTATGTGTTTGCACAAGGGTCTACTTTTTGCCGGTTGTTACGATGGTAAAATTTACGTTTTTGATACCAGGGTAAGATAATTTATTTTTCACTCACGATTCATCATTTTCTCGTGCGTATTATTTTATTTCAATTTTAACTATTTTTCTAGAATCATAATCTCGTATGCACTATACCTGGTCCTGGAAATATGTTACTAAGTATGGAACTAGTTGATAGAAAGGTATATTTCCGCTTTATTTTTAAGCTTAATATATTACTTTGTAAAGTATTATCGTTATTATGTTAAAAAGTTTAGGTAGTAATTTATTCTTTCGACAATCGTCGCAAGTGGTTAATAAACTTCTTATTTAATTAATTTACTACTTTACATAGCAAAGTATATTTATAAGTTATAAAATGATTTAAAATATTTTTATATTAATTGTGAATGGTGAATGTAAAAAAACTGTATTTATGTTCATAGATAATTGCTGGCAGCAAAGATAGAAGCTTACATATATGGGATATGCCTGAACAAATCCAAGAATTACTGAACCAACAGATGTAAAGTGAAAAATTTAATGCGAGAGATAAATCTAGTCACCTTCTAAAACTTTTCAAAGTATGAAGCGATACGTGAGAAAATATTTAAAAAAAACACAAAAAACACATGATAATTTAGTGTGTTGGTTAAGGACAGTCAAAACTACTGCCGTGACTCGTTAAACTCGCTATACAGCCTCACATGGAACATTAAATTTCCGTAATATTAACAACAGAGCGGAAAACTGAAAAAAACGGAGGAAACCAATTAATTCAAATTTAAATATTATAAAAATGTACATACTTTGCATTGCGCACGATAAGCGCATGAAGGACTTGTACAAATTTCGTGTACAGATAGGGATCATTGGAATAAATCATAAATTGATATGCCAATGTAATTTTAATAGCGATGTAATGTAATTATCATGCGTAGATTATTATCAGTAGAATTCGAATTTTGTTTCTTCTATAGCGCAACAGAAACAATGAAAAAAAACTCAAATGTGAATGTTGTGAATTTGCCTTTCAATTAAATTATATTCAGTTTACTGTCATAAACTTAGAGTGGTTCCACGATAAAACGATGAGTCAAATTCCACGAGAAAATAACAATGTAAAAAAGATACATTTAATCATTCAAAGACTATATTATTTTATTATTTTTTGATTTTGTATCAAAGTGAAGACTAACAATTATATAATATCCACCTTGTTACTCGGGAATAAAAAATCTTTTCACGATAACATGACGAACAGCATTGGACACGGAAAGAAAATAGACGAGTAACAATTTTTTGTAGTTTATGAAAAAAAAATCAAAGCCGTAAAATACGGCTTAATACATATATCTGAATTTTATACTGATTGAGAAGAAAGTAAGAAAGCACTAGGCGTGGAACGACACGTACCATTGACTCGTGCACTGTTGTATTTTATATAATGTAGCGCGTTCAACTACATTACTTTCAAACTTGTAAAAAACATTAAGCTGAATAAAGTAAAGTGATTTGTTTTTTTTTATACATGACCTTTTTTTTACTTTTGCTTAGTAGTAAGTAGCTATGTAAACCGAGCGTAAATTCTCGTTATTTCTGTAGAAATAACACTTTGATAATAACGTACAAATTTTGTGCTATGGTCGTCGAAAGTTTTTTCATATATTATAAGTTTGCTAAATAAAAATACATGATGATGTAAACACGTTTTGTTAAAATAAAACTTGAGCAAATGAAATCTCACACATACATCTGTTGTCTATTCAAACTTTTCATTCAACTTGCATGCATGAAATCAACAATATATATATCAATTTTAATATATATTTTATTCTGGGAGAACGCGTAGAACGAACCCTGACAAGGGTATTGAACTATAAAAACAGCTGTATATATAGAAGGAAGGGTGAGTTCCACATGGTCGAGAGCGATTGAAATAGTAGTAATTATAGTATCGATTTCTTTTTCATTACGCCAAGTTACAACGGTCTACGCGCTCGACAAAATAGCTATCATTTAACTAGCTATAACTATATATTTAATTATAAGATAATGATCGCAATCCTTATTCGTAGTGTTTTTAACAATTTCTGTAGGGACACTAGTATTGCATAATGCACGATGATACCCAGCATGCATATGAGATTTATGTACACATAAGATGGATACACGTAACTAAACGAAAACATAAGAAACCCGGTGTTTGTGGTTGAAAACAAATAGTGTTGAATACAAATGTTAATTTTTTCAAGTGTTTGCGTTAAAAATTAAAGGCTCAACTGTAATGAATTTCTTCATTTCTTTTGAAATAAGAAACGCCTGGTTATGTCATTGAGTAAATAACTGCAGGCTTGCGACAGTACTTAGTTGACTCAAGCAACGGAAACGCTTGGACCGGCTGCAGACAGCTTGTGCCGGATTTTAAGAGTGGTTGTCTGCTCTGCCTCAGTGAGAATTTTTATACGCAGTAAATATATATATAGTAAATTATCAGCTTATCAATACTGATTTGATGCTTTAGCGTAGTCTCAAGTTTGCACTTTGTAAACTTTGCAACGTCATGCTGCATTAAAGATTTACCGTGTCATTCGATGTGCATTCGATTTGATTTTTCAAAGAAGGAAGACCCGCTCTCTTCGAATATAATCGGTTCATGTTAACACTACAAAGAGAATTTTAAAGCTTTGATAAAGTGAAGTTAAAAGTGATTAACGTCGAAAATGAAAAACCACCGCAATATTTTACACGGACCACCATTTGTTTTTGAATTTCCAAACGGGACGACAGTTGGGCAATTACTTTTCGATCAAATTGCTAGTGCTGACGAACAAATCGCTCAAGTAAGATGTGCTAAAAGAACTTTCAATATGCTATCATTGCTATCCTTCATTTGTAATCGACATAAATTTTCTTATTTGGAGTGATAAAAAATTTAATTTCAATTTACAGATTCAAAAAGAAACTGGCCAGGAATTAAAATTCAAAGATATTCTTGAAAAAAGTTGCAAGTTAGCTGTATACTTGAGAAATAATGGAATACAGGTCAACGATAGAATATCTATCTGTAGTGAAAACAATTTGGGTTGGTCCAATACAATATGTGCAACTTTGTTTGTGGGTGCTACTATTTGTCCCCTAAATCCTATGTACTCAGAGAGAGAATTTCTACATGCCATCAACATTACCAAACCAAAAATTTTATTTGTTTCCCCAGCGGTATTCACATCTGTAAATAGTTATATAAGAAAACTAAATTGGAGGCCAATTGTAATATTACTATTTAATGATCCCAGCATCAACAATATTTCAATTAATGATTTGATAACAAACATCTCAAATAAAGATATAGCTGACTTCCACTTAACAAAAGTTGATGTGAATAGTCATATAGTATCTATATTGTGTTCTAGCGGAACAACTGGCCTTCCGAAAGGTGTGATGCTCAGTGATAAAAATTATTTAACTAATATTCAAACTATGATGGATGGAACATTTGGGCTTTCATCTTCAAGTCAAGTTCTTATTTGTTTACTACCATTCTTTCATGCTTACTGTTTTACTGTACTTATTATGGGGCTCATCGCTGGAGCTACTGGTATTGTTTTTTCTCATTTTGAAGAAGAAGCTTTTTTGGAAACAATACAGCAGTACAAAATTGAAGTCTTAACACTTGTACCACCACTTATGGTATTTTTGGCCAAACATCCTCTTGTTGATAAATATGATTTATCATCAATCAAGATTATATGGTGTGGGGCAGCTCCTCTTTCACGTAATATTGAAGAAACAATTAAGAAACGTCTAAAAAATATTGAAATTAGGCAAGCTTATGGGATGACTGAAACCACCTTGAGTGTGACAAAAATTCCTGAAAATTGTGGTAAACTAGGAAGTGTTGGTAAATTACTACCCGGAGTATCAGGTATGTGTAGTCAATTCATAAAATAATCATCTAATATTTAAAAGTGTTCAATGTACATTTAAATTACATATCATTAATATATTTTAGCCAAAGTTGTAGCTGTTGATGAGATTGGTGCTGTATCTGCTGAACCAATGGGCCCTAATTGTAGAGGAGAATTATGTTTCAAGGGAGATATAATTATGAAAGGGTATTGTGGTGATGTATCATCAACATCTGCAACAATAGATGAAGATGGCTGGTTACACACAGGCGATATTGGATATTATGATAATGATGGTTATTTTTATATTGTTGACCGTTTGAAAGAACTTATTAAGTATAAAGGATTTCAAGTGCCACCAGCTGAACTTGAAGCTATTTTGCTGTCTAATCCAAATATTAAAGATGCTGCTGTTGTGGGATTGCCAGATGAAAAAGCAGGTGAATTGCCAATAGCTTTTATTGTCAAACAACCAAATTCAACAATTACTGCCAAAGAGGTTCAACAGTATGTCAATGGTGAGCTTGCATACACACACAATTATTGAAAGAAATAAGCTAAGTTTTAATTTAGATTTCAATAATCACTCAATGTCTTTATTTTAGAACGCGTCTCAAACCAAAAAAGACTACGAGGTGGTGTTAGATTCTTAGATAACATTCCAAAAAATCCAAGTGGCAAAATACTCAGAAGAGAATTACGAGCTTTATTAAAGTCTAAGTTATAATCATTATTATTCAGCAGCATAATATGAGAGGAAACGATGTTTTTAAATATTTGATTTGTTTAGTATTTAGTGTTTGTTGAATAAGTCAATAGTGTCAACAATTTGTTTTTTTACAATTTTTCCAATTTAACACTTTATTATAAACATAGTTTATGTTTTTTCACATAATATGTACATTTGTCTTGATAAAGGCAGAATTCATACAAGTCTTTGTTTTATCTCACTTGAAATGAGTGAAAGATACCATTGTTGATGTTGACCTGGAGCAGTAGCTAAAACTCCACCTGTATTGGGGTAGCTTACTTTGGCATTATATGAATATTTTTTTCCATGAAGGTCGGTCAAACATCCTCCTGCAGCATGTAGAATAGCTTCTGGAGCACACGTGTCCCATTTTTTACAACCTTTACTTGCAAATACATAAGCATGAGCTTTTCCCTCTAACAGAAGCATGACCTAAACCAAAGATGAATTTAATAATTTATTTCTTGTCATCAAAAGTTAAATTAATTGTAAAAAAATATTACTTTATAACCTGCACCTCCAACTCTTAGAATTTCATCAGGTTTCAAGGCATCTAAAGCAGCCTGTACAGTACTATCACAGTGAGACCTAGAAAAAAAATTGATCGAAATGGGCACATCTTTTATTGTAATGAGAAATTTGCATACTTTATTTTGGAATATGATGAGATAAAAAGTAGGAATATGAGGTAATTAAGTGAACAAACAAAAACTGATTTGCTCAGATTTTATATAAAGTATTGACAAAAAATTTATTTATGATTATTTGCTACATATTCACCTGGTTGTGGTAATGACACGTCTTCCTTCAGCTGGTTTTATGAGTTTGAAACCACCTACACCAACACCATCAATACCCCATATCGTTCTTCCCAGAGAATCATTTTCTGAATTTTTAAAATAAGGTTGATGAATAACACCACCAATAGCTCTATCTCCTACAGCAATACCAACTAATACTGTTACATGTTCTACAAGTCCTTGAGTGTACTCTGAAGTTCCTGTGAAAATGATACCTTAGCATTAAGTAAAACTGAAAAACAGATTATAATTTAATTGGTTATAATAAAATAGTATGCACATACCATCCAGTGGATCTACCCATACACAAATATCTTGAACATCAACATCATTCAACTCACTTGGTAAATCTACTTTTAATACTTCTTGATCCATATCAGACACAACCCAATCAGATGGTAATTCGCAACCAATCGAAGGACCCTCCTCACCAATAATTGTAACATTTGGAAACTGTTGACTCAAAGATGTGACAATACATTTTTGAGCTGATCTGTCTGCTTCAGTTTGTAAATCATTTTTTCCTTTTTCCACAATATTCAAATCTCCTTTGCTCATGATATCTCTGATAATTTTACCAGCTTTAGTTGCTGCTGTCACTGATGAAGCAACTAAACGAGTTAACAGAGCACCACTTTGTGCCATCTTTTTAAACTTCTGAGATTTCTGTATATAAATTAAAATTAATAATAAAAAAATTTGTGTTGATTGTACAATAATACTAATAATAAATATTGCATGGATTCTATATCTATTTCAATTCATCTATAAATTGATTGTAAGAACAAATGTATTTCTATGCAACATAAGCTTTCGCTACACTGTTCGATTTACTGCATATAGAAATAAAGAATAAAAAAATATTCTGCAAGGTAAAACCGTTTTGTACAGGTCTTTAAGAGGCACAGCATTCACGGTAAAAAAGGAAAGTATAAAATCCAAGGTTATTTAGAAAAATTACTAAACTAGTAAATAATATGCTGAAAAAATTTGCCACTAAGTTTGCTCTAATCTCGACTTTTTTTGGGTAATTTTAGGTTACACATTGAGATTAATCGATTAGATAAAGAAATGTAAGTGGTGATTGTGACGACTACAATTTTTAATAAATACTTATGTATACTAACATACGAGTGAGTTTCAGCAAAAATTATCCAGTTCAGCAGGTGTTGCCGGCCAAACTACTAACAGGGGCACAACAAATGGATTGACTATATAATAAGATGTATATTCTACATTCTAAGCGCATAGATCAGGCGTGCACAGATCCTTTTTCATCGATGACATGCACGAGCAGCAGGATGTAATCTTTAAAAGGCAGGACACGTCAGAGGCTTTTGAAAATAATTATTTTTGAGACCATTTATCTTTTTAAACGGTATTTTGAATTGTCGTTAAACCACAGTTGTACGCTTATACATTTTTAGGAGACGTTTATAAGCAATGAGCTTGCAAAGCTAAAACTGGAAATATTATTTTGAAGTTAATCTGGCTTGCTTTGAAGGAAATAAAAGATTATAGTTTAAGTAAATTGAAAACATTATCATAAAATATAAAAAAAAGCACGTGTACTACCGAATATTAATTTAAGCTTCATGACTTAAAACGGCGTTTACAAAAATTTATTATCAATTTATTATTATTCTTATTAATAATGTGACTTCAAGAAGTCATGTGAAACATTGCAGTAGTATACTAATGTACATATTAATCTTGATTCCCTATAGTCATGCGTTTACGTAAATCGACATATTTAGTTATGTAAATAATTGATATTTGAATTTTACACTTTTGAGTTTTGCTGTAGAAAATTAAAACTCAAAAGTCTTACGGATCTCGTAATTTTAAAAAAATGTTTTAAAGCTAGATGCTTGAAAGGGTATTGCATAAAAATCGTAAAAACGCAAAACTACGACAAATTTTAAATGTTTACAACTTATTTTTACAACGTGAAAATGTTTTATTGCACAAACATCGAAAAATTTCATCTCACTGTTGCACATCATATTTTCGAAATTAAGCATTATTACTTGTAGATACGATTAATACAAGATATAACAATGACCTATTCAGTTGTATTGAAGTTTATAAAAAGAAAGCAAAATTAAAAAGAAAAACTTCAGTGTGTTATAGTAAATCCAAATGATTGTTTATTTATAAGTTTAAATTACATTATACAGCAAACAAGTTTAATATCAATATTTCAAAATAAAACTTCGATTATTTTGTTGAAATTGTTTATTTTGTTTATATAATCAAACACGTATATCTGTAGTTCTGTTCAGTTGTACAATGTAAATGTAGTTTGAAAGGTAATAGGATTTTACTCATCGCGCATCTAATAGCATTGACGCTGTGTTTAATACTATGTGATTTGAACCAATAATCTTTTTTTTATTACTCATCTTTGCATCAATAGTAAATTTTTATATAGAATGCAGTGAAATTTAGAAGTGTAAGGAAAAGCTATTCCGTGACTTTTCAACGCGACATTGATTTTCACAATTGATACATTGTAATATAAGAAATAAGCTCCTCATTTTTAATCGAGTAAACGTATATTGAATATGTAAATTATTCCATTAATTCAGAGTCTCTGGATCTACTTTATCAATGAGTAGATATCTATGACGAAATTCTTGGTCATTTTTTTAAATGGAAAAACCTATTTTTTTTTGTAGATATGAGCAATGAGAAAGAAAATACAAAAATGAGGCAGTTGAGCCAAACAGATTGTAATGTTGTAACTGATAGACATAATATAAAAACTAAAAGTAGCAGCGGTAAGAAGTTCCTCTATAGCTAGAATCAATCATGTATAATAAAATACTGACGACGCATTAAACAACAACGAAATCCAGACGTGAACTAATTATGTCAGTGTTTAAATAAATTAGTTATAATTATTGGACAAAAATCAGAACAAGCAATTAAGGTCAAGAGAAAAGATAACAACAAATACGGGTAACATAAAAAATGATAAAGCAACAAGAAAATTTGGCACAAGTCAAGTCGAAAAGTGTCTCGAATATTTGGCATATTATACACATGCCTCGAGATCAGATCTCGTTTGCCTTGAACGTATTTCAAGGTCAGATGTTGCTTCGTCTTCTTACAACTGAGCGTGATTATTAGGAAAGATGTGTATGTTTTCAAGAAGATCTCTATAGCGATGACAGATTAAAAATGTTTGTAGCGGCGATGACGGCAAAGTCGAAAAAGAAATAAATGAGGAAAGGAGAGAGAACGATAAAGGAGGGGGGATGACGAGAGAGTACAGCATAGAAATATGGGAAAGCTGTAATTTACAGTCGTCATTTATTCTGGACACGGTGGCAAAGTCTGCATGTCTCTCCTCTTTTGCACGCTGCTTCTCACGTTTATCGTTTGCTGGCTCCACGTATTTTTCCTGCTGGTCGCGCAAACACAAACACCGTCGCCACTATTTAAAAACACTCGCATTTTTTTAAAGCGAATTATCGGTGCGTTTCTTTGAATTTATTTTTTTAACGATTTGAAAGAATTTATTTTTATTTATCAAAATTTCGTTAACGATATTACGACATTTCCGATTGTGGTTCGACTGTGATAAAACACTAAATCGTTGAAAAAGTGATATTACAAGAGTGCGCAAAGGCCAGCTAGATAAAGTATTTGAAAGAAAAATAATCGAGAGGAGAGAAGATGAAGATGAAGGTGGAAGAGCTTTTGAAGATAGTTGTGATTATCGGTAGCTTGGCGATGTTGACAAGACAATGCAGCTGCCAGGACATAATATTCCCCGGAGACGACGAAGCCTACAGCCACGTGAGCGGCAGTGCGCCGGCAAGTATAGAACAGCTTAGTGTTACGAGATGCGCACTGACCAATGAATTGCTCGACAGGTGACACAGCGAAAGCCGCTGAAGGTAAACGACGGCTGTCCTGAGAACATGTTCCTCTGGCCGGACGACGGTCCGCGATCGGCTTGGGTCTGCGATTGCAAACCGCGCTTCGTTTACTTCCCCAAAATTGACGCTTGCCACGAAGTTTTCCAGCGTGGACCTTGTCTACCGCAACACTACGTCTACTTGACGCCCAACCAGACGATCCCGAGCTGCGTTCCAAATCCCTGCAAACAAGTCGGCTACGTCGCCTACCGCGGAATCTGCCATCCGCTGCGCGCCAAAGGCGGACCCTGTAAAGCCGACGAGGTGCTCCATGTCAACGAGACCACCTATCAACTTGAGTGCTTGGGAGCCGATCTCGTGCCGTTTGTCATTATCGACGCACCACATCGTAGGGACGGTAATTGTCCCAAGGGCAGTCGACGAAGCAGCCTTGGCGTTTGCAAGATCGTTCTCTAGATTCTCGTTCGTTGTTCGCTAATAGAAACAACGCGTACCACTTGTGCTTCGTTAATCAATGTTAGCTTTATTTATTCGACATCTCGGATTTACAACTTTTCTTTTTTCATACGAATTTATACAAACACACATCAGTCACGCGTACACACACAATTACGTATATGTACATCCATGTTCGCATGTTAAATCTATGCACACAAGTATATGTATAATGAATTTTTTATAAAGGATATTGCATTATTCAACAATAGATATAACTGAATTCTAGATCCTTATAGTAAACTTACGATACATCAACATGAGATTTAATTAACTTCTGGAGGTTGGCTAGTGCCAGCTCTAGCAGCTGCCTCTATCAATCTTTGTCTTTCTCTGTACATAGACACCTTCATGTTCTCCAATTGATGGTATCGCAACAACTTTAACGTAGCAAATACTGATAATCCTACCCAAACTGATAAGCTACTCCATGTTCCAAATTGTGCTGCACCTAATTCCACGTGAAAACCAGTTGTGTCTATATTGTCCTCCTTATCAATGTCATTACCAGCAGCCAATTCGCAGGAGGGAAACCTTTTCGTCATACATTTGCACCAAGTCATAAATCCTAGTGTTATAAATAATGCTGCAACTAGTGTAATACTAGTTAGGAAGACAGATGTTATAACGTCAATGAAAGCAGACAAAAAAGAACTGTCTTCTCCTCTGTACATGAGCATGGATAAGCGGTAAATTTGTACAGCTGAAGTTATAAAGAGTACCAATCCAACAAATATAGCATAGTTACAATATATCTGCGATGCCCAATTAGCTACAAACTGTGCGTCACTTTCCCTCCAAGTACCAGTTGAAAAAAGTAGGCAATGACCCCTAAAGACAAATAGTATTAAAATTTTATTGGTACCTAGGGTAAGTTCTACTTAATATCATAAGTTTTCCTTTCTTCAAAAACATTAAACTTATAAAAGATTGACGATGACGCAAAACAACGTAATTGTTACCTAAATTCATCTTGATGCAGACTCATTGGTACAATGATGCATATTGACAAAATGAGAGCAACCACATATCCAGCTATCTGGCTGAGCAGCAAAAGATTCGTTATCGCCATGTTATCGATATGTTATGTTGACCATAGATACTCTTTTTAAAAATTTTCCGGCAAAATAATTGCTAACACTATTGTTATCTGTAAAATTTTTTTCGAGGTTATAAACAGACCTTAGCGAATTGTTGTCTTTGCATAGCTTAAATCACCTAAAGAAACATTGATGTTGTTAATTATAAAAACAACGTACTTATTCGGCCACTAATTGCAATATTGTTTGGAACGAAGACATTGGTAACGTCTAATCGTTATTGGAATCATGTAAAAGTTGGAAGAGATGATTGAGTGGTTGATGTCAATTCGCACTGATTTTATTTCCTCACGAAAATTCACAGTAATCAGTAATCATTTGATATTTTGACGATAAAGATAAAGAGAATGGAGCAGAAAAATTTTCTTTCGGAGAAGTCGAACCGTGATTCTGTATAATCAACAGATGATCAATGACATCGAGCGCAAGATGAATGTGTGCGTTTGTGTATTTCACTATAGGTATATCGTATACTTGTACTATACTATACACGATCATATGTTAGGCACGCAGCAACGTTATAGTGCCATATATATGAGATGCGCAGTAACGCCTAAACATGTGTATCACTTCAAAATATATGCGTATTTTGTTGGCGTTTCGTCCATTCGTTGTGTGGAATGAGACATGAGACAGTCGATAGTTCGATACCTACTACCTCGGCAGGCAGTGGATGCTGCATAAACTATTCGTGATAAAATACACGTGATAGCCTTTAATGTCAGGCAAGACATGGCAAATTTCGAAAAGAAATGAAAATAATTAAGAAGCTTGAGACATTACGAGTGAAAGTGAGAAATATATTCGAGTCACACAAAGAGCACGCACTACAAAGGCGAGGCTCATTGACGATATTGCATCGTCGTCAATATACATAGTTGTACATTTTACGTAAGCAAAATAATCATCAACTTTGCGATTTTTACGAGAGAACAATTGAATGTGATAGAAGCGTGAAAGAATATTTTCAATGAATGGTTAGTATATGTAGTGAACGAAGAGAAGGGGCAGAGGCAGAAAGCACTACAGCTGAGTCAGAGTTAGGGATAGAGAAAGAGTCAGAGAGAGCGACTATCGCAATTATGATGCAGTTGTACCATAGGTTATTGTAGACTAAAATCGTGCTAAGTTTCAGGAGAGAAAAAGTCGTAATAAAAGTAGAGGAAATTACTGTAGATGCCATCAACTTCCAATCGGAGACGAGAGGGGAAAGAGACACGGATAAAGTAGGTGTCAGCTGATTTTTGTCTATTTTGACTTCGTCCAAACCTTCACCCAGTGAAAAAAAATACTACAAAATGACAGAGATTGGTTGATGCAAAATATAAAATACCTAAAACTTATGGTATTGTGGTATTGTATTTGCGTTGGTGAAGAGTTGGAAGAGTTTGAGAGAGAGAGAGAGAGAGAGAGAGAGAGAGAGAGAGAGAATTCGATAGATATTGAGAAAAACAGAGAAAGAGAACGACACGTGCTCATTGGCTTTACAACTCAATGTGGTGGACTGATGTGGTGTATCAGCTGTTTATCAGCCCCGCTCCTTGTATACATTTATCCTTGTGTTTGTCTTTCTCGTGCTCTCTCTCCCCCTCTTACTTCCATCTCGCTCGCTCTTTCCTTGATTTTCTGTTTCTGCGCGTCGACTGTGTAGTTTGTGCTTCGCTATAGCGAGCGAACCTAAGCGAATGCTCCCGCAACTAAAAGTTCAACGACAACGACGACTGTACATTATTTTTTCTGCCTTCGAGTTTTCCACGTCTGATTATTTTAGGACACTTGCTTTTCAGTTTTCAAATGAAGTCCCTGTAGTGAGCAAACGCTGCTCCGCAATAGTCAACACCAATGTCGTGGATAGGCTGTTTACCATGGTCTGAAACGATAAAAAAGCGTGCCTGCAGATACCTGCTGCAGCGCTACTTGGGTCAATTTCTCGAGGAAAAGTTGACGCTTGATCAGTTAAGCGTCGATCTGTACAATGGCACAGGTCGGGTCACCAATGTCAGGCTCGACGTACAGGTGAGAGAAGCAAGAACACCAACTCTTCTTTGTTGCCTTTGTCTTGCGCGCTATCGTAAAATATTCACTTCGCGTTCTGTGACCTCTCCCCACCCAATCCAACCGACCCCTCGGTCTCAACCCGTCTTAATTTATTCAATTTTATTCTTTTGTCAATGCTTGTCTTCTTCGTTTTGAATTGAAAAATTTTTTTGCTGCAATTTATGCATGCCTAGACAACAACTCTATCCTCTGAGTGACAATTTGTTTTCTTTTGTTTTTCTTCAGGCCCTAAATGAAATGGGCGAGCAACAGCAATTGCCATTAGAGTTTGTTGATGGATTCGTTGAAGAGATGTCTGTCAGCATTCCTTGGTCGGTTCTGCTCAGTGAGCCCAGCTACGTTGAGGTGACTGGTTTGAAATTGACAGTTCAGCCTAGACAGATGGCTGAAACTGGAACATCCATGTTTGAATCTATGTGGAGTTCTATGACATCTAGTATGCAGTTAGCTCAAGAATGCTTGCAGCAAGATGCCAATAATTCAGGCAATTCTCAACCTCTCGAAGGAATTGAAAGATTTGCTCAGACAATAGATTCAAGTAATTAGAATACTTTACACAATCAACTTAATAATTCATAAAATATAACTTTGTTTTTATTTTAATTTTTATATTTTAGTATTATGTAGGGTGAAAATACGATTCCTTCAAACTGTGATACGTTTAGAACATGTGCCAGTCGATTCAGCTATTGGAGTTGCCATGGAAATTCGTATAGAAAACTTGGAGTACTGTGATGAAGCTGGTTTGGATCCATCAAGTTCACCTGTAGACCCTGATAACCCTAATCAAGCAACCAAAGGATACATAGTATCAGCATTTAGCTGTAAAAGATTTTATTTGGAAGGTGTGACATTTCACATAGATGAATTTCCATCAAAAGCCAGAACTTTTTCAAAAAGTTTAATTTTGAATAGTAGATCATCTACACCAGATTCCAAGGTATTGCAATATTTTTAAATAAATATTATAATGTAGAGTCGTCTCTAATGTATTTTCCACTAAACCTTATGTATCTTTTTGTTATCAAGAACTCTGATGGACAATTTTCATCAGCCCAAATATCTCCATCACAATGTATGCCAACACCGCCTGAAAAACATGCCACATTAAATAACTTGAATGAATTAAACAATCTCATAATGTTCGCCAAACTGTCAGGACGTCAAGAAATTCGTTTGAAATTGAAACACGGCGATAGTGTCCCAGGTCCTAAGGTATGTTATACTTGCATAACGGTTACTGATTTATTGACAAATGAACCTTAACGAAAGCAACGTAAATTTCAGATAGAATTATACATAAATATGGGCCCACTAACAGTATTTTTAAGTCCAAGACAAGTGCACGCGCTGATGGAATTGATGGAGGGTCTTGCGTCTCCAGACATGGAGGACGTAAGTAACGTCGTACCCAGACATCATTGCAGTGATAAGCCAATGCTCAAGAGCGACTTTAATAAAGTCGAGCGAGAACTTTTGAACCAAATAAATCCTGCACAAGACTTTAAAACAATGGTTAGTTTTTCGAGCGATTTGCGTGACTTATGTATTTCAATGAGTTTTTATATTTAATAGGATTTGAGGAATACGCAAGGCTGGTCGACGGCTTCGCTAGATAATTCGGATAACGATGAACAGTTTTATCCAATGTGCACGTCTGGAGTCTCGTCGATGAACAACTCGGTCAACAGCAATAACACGAGCATGGAAGACAGTTTTTCAGCATGTAGCATCAATTTTAAAAGTTCAATAGCGAGTTCAGCCACAAAACTACATAAATCGCACAGACACCGATCCGCTAGCACCGACGACCAATTAAGTGATGAGACCTCGCAGTTTCATTTAGAGATTTCCTCGCTGGTAATAGTCTTATTACACGAGGATATCTTGACGAGCGGTATTGAAGGCTATGGATTGACTAAAGTCAGTGTCACAGCAATGAGGACTATGGTCGAAGATTTTTTCAAAAATCTAGGAATTATCGCTGCCAATGGTTTCAGTAACAAGAACTTTGAAATGGCCTCTGAGATTGTGATTAAGTCTTGTCAGCTTAGTCACTTGAGGTGCGCTTGCTCTTTAATGCTTTAAATTCCAATCCTACTATTTTGACTATCCTTTTCACTTTACAGACTTTTGGCAACTCCATTAGCAATTGAGGCGAACGAAAAAACAACGGGTCAACGTTCCGCTATGTCTGGTCAGTTATCGCTGCCCACTTTGGAAATAGTAGAGTGCCTATTTGATTCGCCAACTGGTCCAGATACGACTGCACACGATGCAACTATAATCAATCTGCTTAGTTTCACTAGCGAAAGTATACGAGCGACCAATGGTTCTTCAAAGGGAAGCGACTTCCAAATGAAATTCAGCCACACGGAGAAAGCGATGAGACATGGTCAAACGACCAAATATTGCCATCCTTTTACGGAATTCGAGTGAGTCGAAAAATCGTGAGAAAAAAGAAAAGAGAATGCAAGAGGGAATTTACAAAGCACTGCCGGATATCGAGCATATTTTGACTAATCATTTATTTTCACTTGCAGAATAACGCTTGGTCCATGTCAAGGCGAGTTGGATATTAGCATAATCGACAGAATTTCGAGTTTACTAAATCGGCAGCCTGTGTGCGTATCGGTTTTGAGCATTCCTGTTTCATCGTCATTAGGAGTAGGTCCGCGTAATAGCTTGGTCAGTTTGGCTGATAGTACAGAAATTCAACAGCAGGTCTTATCGATATGAAACTGAAACGCATAATTTGCTTTGCAGAGTCAACAGAGCGTATTTTATCAAGCCGTCGAAAGTCCGTCACTATCAGAAACACGTACAGAGATTAAAGTGTCAGTCTCAAAGTGCCTAATCAATCTAAGGTAAGTCAATAATCTGATAATGAGATTTGACATAGCCGTCAATATTTCCTCCAGTTAATTTTTATTAATTTTTATATTTTACCGGTAGATTCCCCATCCCAGATTTAAGGCCAGCTCACGAAATAGGTCGTACCGCCTGGTGGAGGCGTTCAGTTCGTAAAGACTACGCGAGTCTTGAACTATTGGACGCGAAGCTACACATCCATGTGGACTCACAGGCAAGGCATTTGTCACGACATGAGTTGCAATCCCGACAGGTGCTGCTTACCTACACCGAGGTCGACTCGGATGTGGCCTTAGAAATCGGAAAAGCAAACGCGGACGAAGGCAACGCTGAGGGTTTCGGTTGGCCGCGGATTGTGCTCACAATCTACCCACTTCAACTTGGACAGGGTCCTCTTGAAGACAGTAGCGAAGGTGAAATCGAGCTAGAAACAACGGCAGCTGCCGCCACTACTGCTGCCAACGAGGAACACTCGTTCGAACAACCAATCAGACACCAACCGTCGCCGTTTAGCTCGAAACGCGTCATTCACGAGTCTGATACACCACATCCAAAACACGCTGGCGAATCAAGGATGCCACCGCCTCAGCCTCATCCGACAAATACCGAAGACAAGTACGTATTTTGACCAACAGTAGCTTCTATCTATTCGAATTATACTCACACCATAATGTTTCAGGGAGAGTGGAGAATTCGTGCTTCCGGGTAATAGACAAGAGATGACAGAGTTTATCGAGGAGGCTACACAAAGCGCAAGGGTACAGCTGGAACTTGGACTACCTTGTGTCTCACTGCAGATACCCTCGAAACACCTCTATGAGCTTATCTACAACCGATTCAACACCGATTTACTACTGTGGCAGCCATCTGCTCCGAAACCTAGCTATCCTGCAGCTGCAGCCTCGTGTCGACGCATTGCTACTATGAGCAGAGGCGTAGAATCGAATGGTCTCAGTTGTAGTTTACTACTGCAGGAACCGTTTATCTATCCAAAGTAAGTATTTGTCATAAATACTTTTTTGACTTGCATTTATAAAATAACATTTGAAACAGCAGCATAAAGAAAAGAAGGTAACTTATACTTTTGGTAAGATCCCTCTATTTATATGTATTTCGACGCACTGAATCAGAACCCGTGGCGACTAAGTTGTTTGCTGACCGTCAGTAAAATAAATTAATACTAAACTCGCCGTATATCAATCGTTTATGTACGAAACTTTATAAAAAAATAATATTGAATATACAGTAACCTGGCAATTTACTTTCACCTAATTTGGTTCATTTTTCAGAACTGTTGAATAAAATTATTCGTAAACAATATTTTTTAATAATCTTTTTTTTTTGGTCAATTTTCAGTCATGAGTGTGTTATGAAGAATCGTTTATTAAAAAATTAATAATCAATATTGATTTATAGATATTAAGGAATACGTGTGTTTAACTTAAGCTTAAACAAATGCTTCACAAAAGGTTTATAAATAATTAAGTCTTAGTTTACGTATCGCACTCATCATGTGAGGGTATATCTAAAAAAACAAATCAATTATAAAATTTTTCGCACTTTTTTTATATAAGATTAGATACAGACCTTTTCTGATGTCTATAGAACAATGTTATCAATAAGTTTTTCATTCAATAAACGCAATTTCATAACGCTTTTAATAAAAAAAGAAAAAAGATTAAAGTAATCTTTTTTTGTTTTCTGTTTTGATAAATGAATTGTTTGTTCCCGGTGGTCGCGCTTCTTACATATTGTGATGTGTTGGTCAACCATGGTAGATGAAGCTCATTTTAAAAATGCAATATTAAGTGTGTTTTCCCTGTAAATCCTACAGGTTTAGCATGTGCAGGAGCGGCGTCCATTACGAATCGAACTCTGACACAGACGACGACTACTTAGACACAGACGCAGACATGCAGCGACGTGGTCCGGCTGACAGTCTATTCTACTCGGCCAGCGCGAACCCCAGTAGTAAACGTAGTAAACAGAGAGTCCGTGGCAAGAGGGTCCAACGGCTACAGCAACAGCAACATCAGCAGCAGCACGGCCAGAGCAAATTAGCCGTAAGCTTGAGCATAGGACAAGGTTTGCTGACGATGTACAGCCCAGTGAGAGATTCGGAGCGCAAAGTCATACCGGGCCAACAAGGCAAGATCATGCTACGAGTCGACGACGCCCTCGTGTTTTCCGTCTCGGAGTACAAGAGCGACGAGAATCTCGGTTACGTTTGCGCCATGGCCAAGGAGGTTGTGCTACACCACTGCAGCTCTAAGACCGCTGTCTCCACGCAGCCACCTCCCTTGCGCTCCGTCAACAGCTCCATACCGAAACATTGCGTGCGCACGATCTACCGAACTGAACCTTCGGCTAGAATCGTGCATGACGAGCCGAAGGATATGCTCGCGATAGCGCTTAGCATACAAACGTCTCACGACACTCATCGAGTCAAGGTTCGATCGATGTTTCGTTTTGCGTTTTGAATTTTTTGTCGAACCGATGTTAATCGATTTTTTATATAGACCTACAAAGTGGCAGTGAGTCTGAGTCAAGCGAGTCTTAACCATCGGGTGACCAACAGTCAAACCTCTTGGTTCAGTCAGTTGAGCGATTGTCTGGACGTCATCGACCATCCCGTCGCTGGATACACTCCACCAAGTATACTCACTGAGCTTCACGCTCATCTTTGGGACTGCGCCATCGATTACAGGTACGCTCTCATTTTTAACTGTTCACAAAAAAATGTCATAATCGTATTTCCGATTTTGCCGAAAAACTACTAACGTTTCGCGAGTCACTTTTCAAAACAATGCAATTTCTGAAAAAGTCGTTGAGAGCGTTGTTTACGCTATTTAATTAAATGGTTCGCGTTTATCTGGCAGGCCTCTTCACTTGCCACTGAGCTCGTTCGTGACTTTGGGAAACTTCAGCGTGTCGAGTAACATAGCCGCGCAAACGAACACATCCACACTGCGCTTCATCGCCGAAGATTTGGCTCTGTTCATCAGCAGCAAGGTGCAACCGCAGTCCCAACTGCAGGTAGATCTCAGGAAAGACTACGTATGCGTTATGGATATGGGTCTGTTCGAGTTATCGTTACGGCTAAACGACAGACAATGTGGTGGTGCTCCACGCGTTGACTTGCGTGCTAGCAGTAACATCCTCCATATACGCACCTGTTCGGATTCGGGCAGAGCACTCATGCAGTTGCTCACCTACTTCGCGGCCGATGGCGATCTCGATCCCAAATATCGAGAGCACGCGCTCTCTCCAGAGGTAGATGATTTCGCGGATTCCGACCACAAGCACCATCTCCTCCATCATCACCAACAGCAGTCCGATGAGACTCTCCTTCCCGACGAGAGCATCAGTTTGCTGAGCAAAAGCCAAGTGGAGCGCGTCAACAGTCTAATGGAGGAAGCCATGGAGGAGTCTGCCCATGGGCTATGCAGTGCTCACTCCGAATCGCACAAGAAAAGCTCTCAGAAGGGCAAGCAGGAGCAGCAGGTGGAGGTGTTCTTCTTCCCGGACGAACAGTCTAAAACGGACAGAGGCGGCAAGGCTGAAAGTTCGACGGGCGCTGGTGCGTCGCAGGAAAAAGAACACCTTCGCCATCATCAAGAAGACGAGGCGGGTGCGGTTGCGGCGTCGGTCTCCGACGACACGGACGACGACTTTTGCATACTCGGCGAAGAAGCTGGGGTCGGCATAATACCGGCGCACGGCGTGCCGGAAGTTCGCTGGCTCAGTCATGAATCCGTTAAGATCATCGACAATCACTTTGCCGTACCAGCCAGCAAGAGGGACTTGCTGAAACCACCCAAAAACTTTCCTAATGCGGTAATGCGGTATCGGCTTCGCGAAGCTACGCTCGTCTGGCACATGTATGGCGGCAAGGACTTCGCTGAGAGTCAGTATCAATGGCCTTCGTGCACCAAGGTTCGACACGTAGTCTATTTCGAGAACGACCCAGATAAACGGTAAGTAGAGGATATTGGTAGTCAATTCGGAATTTCGTTAGGATCAATTATTCCAGTATTCGCTACGAATTGCACTTTTCGGACTTTCGAATTATTGAAAGTTTTATCATAAACTTTCTGAATTTATTTTTGAAATATTTTCACGCGACTAGCTTTCAATCGAGCCTATGAGCTGTTTTGTTAAATCAGTAAACGATAGTATCATTGATTAATCCATGTTTCATTGGTTGAACAGCCAAGAGGCAACATACAAGACTTTGCCGGACCCATCGTCAAAGCGCAGTTGGCAGGAACTTGGAGGTCCAGGCCGCCGACTCGACGTATTGATGGAGCTGCAGTTGAACAAGGTGCGCTTTTTGCACGAGATCTATCCGGAACACACGACCCAGGCCAGCTGGCAAGGCTTGGAGGTGAACGAGATTGAAGTAAGGGACCGATTGGCTAGCTCGCAGATAAACATGTTCCTCTATCAGTACAGCAGCGAGGCTAGGCCAAAGCAATCATTTGCCAACATGTTGTTTGTGAAAGCTATCCACACGCGACCCGATCCGCGATTACCCGCTGAAGAGTGCTGCCTGAAAATTAGCCTGCTGCCCGTCAGACTCAACATCGACCAAGACAGTCTGCTCTTCCTCGTGGATTTTTTCAGCGAGCTACAGCAGCCCGCTTCAGCGAGCTCAGCTTCCCAGCAGCAGCAACGAGCGTCGCCTTCGCGAAATCGTGAAAAATCGCAGGCATGCGATACAGGTGGCAGTGCCACGAGCGTAGCTCAGAGCTCGGTTGGCGACGTGAAATCAGCGAACTCGAGACAAGGCATTCCGATTCATCAACTGCCTGTCATGAGCGTCAATTACGAAAATAACGAACCCGATGGTGCTTACGGCGGTTACCGAAACTACGCCGGCAGTCAGCGAGACGAACCAGCCGCAAACGATCGCAATCTGATGATACTACTGGAGGATGAGCTTACGATTAAAGAAAACAAGTCTAGCGCCAAAGTCGTTCGCGAGATTCAGAGTAACGGTCAGCCGGTTTACTTCAGGAGTGTAATTTTTTCGCCCGACGTATTTGTCAGATTGGATTACCATGGAAAACGAGTTGATTTGACTCATGGACCGCTAGCTGGGCTGCTCATGGGTCTAGCGCAATTAAATTGTTCTGAACTCAGATTGAAGCGTCTTGTTCACAGACAAGGGCTACTTGGCTATGAAAAGCTGGTTTCGTTCCTACTTACGGAGTGGATACAAGATATTAAAAAGAATCAACTACCTAGTCTACTGGGTGGAGTTGGGCCTATGTACTCGCTCGTGCAACTTTGTAAGTGCTTTTTTTCACGCTGTTTTGGAAATCGGACTTGATCTTACTAAATTAGACTATTTATCTTTGTAGTTCAGGGAGTGCGAGACCTATTTTGGCTACCTATCGAGCAGTATCAAAAGGACGGTCGAATCGTCAGAGGACTACAGCGCGGCGCCAACAGCTTCACCACCTCTACGGCAATGGCGGCTCTTGAACTCACATCGCGACTTGTGAACGCGATACAGAGCACCGCCGAGACTGCCTACGATATGGTGAGTCCAGGACCGAGCGTAAGGACTCTCTCAGGCAGAGGTCACAGAGGCCGTAGAAAGCGATACACTCAACCGCTTGACATTCGCGAGGGTGTAACTAATGCGTACGTTCTCGTTAAAGAGGTAAATTTCGCTTGCTACTTTTCGATTGCCCTCTTCGACCAGCCAACATAAGCTAAATTCTTTTTATCGGCTATTTTACAGGGCCTTGGCGAAACAGCCTCACAATTGATTAGAGTGGCAAGCGAGGAACACGAGCAGAAAGGAGTATCGGGTGCCGTAGGAGGGGTTCTGCGTCAAATCCCACCGACGGTCGTCAAGCCGATCATACTCGCCACCGAAGCCACTAACAACGTCTTAGGTGGTATGCGATCTCAACTCGTGCCAGACGCGCGGCGTGAAGCCGTTCAAAAATGGAGATCCGACTCTGACAATGAAAGTTGAATGCACTTTGCTCTTCTCACCCACTTTGTCGGTGAGATTAGATTGCAGAAAATGCGCAAATTACCTCGCTTCAGCAACACGCACCTTATTTTTTATTTTTATTTTGTTTTCGATTTAACGTTTTGACTGATAGCATGTTGTTGCAATCCTTGCCGGATGGTTTATAAATAAGGCTTGTTCTGTTCATTACAACTTACTTGTCGGTGGTTTTTTGAACAACAATTAGATAAACAATTTTTTTACTATGACATTTTTTTATCCTTAAGTACTTTACTAGCTGAAATGTATTTGTTTAGACTAATGCTCTTATAGAATTTGATAACAACGGATCAACAATCAGAGAAAACATTATTTTGTTAGCTTATGAATATCCTAATGTTTATTCATGTGTATTTAAGATTTATGTTATGATATGAGAATTATTACTGGATTACATTACTTTTCAAACGTTATCAAATATTTACGTCTTCTTATTATTAGACTTTGCGAGTACAATGTGACAAAATTTAAAAAGATATTAGCGAATAGAATCTACGTTCAAATGTACATACATTTGTCGATTTGCGCGCAAGACGACTCTCCGCCTTTGTAAGTTTTATACAAAAAAAGTGCAAACAATTAATAAAATCATTTTCACTGTATGTTGTAATAACAATAATGCTTACTTTTCCTTTCCCTTTCATTTCGATTTGTTTACCTTCAACACATCAAACTGACTTCTCGCTATAACTTTTTACGTTAGAGTTATTTAGTGCATTCATACACGGAAAATTTAAAATTAACGTAGGAAATGACGAGGGTAACTATCGTACCAGCAGTCGGTAAATCGGTTGAATTTATATATATAATAAAATCTCACATGGTAAAAGCTCATTGAACGACAATACGTGTAAATATTTAGAGATGGCAGCATCATCTAAATACTGACAGTTCATATCCGATTCCCGGCTATTTCCATGGTAATGTTTGGCATTATTTGAAAGTTCCAAAATCGAAGAAAGCGAAGGCACTGAAAGTAAACGCAGTCGGGATCCAAGTGATGAATGCGATGATTGAAAAATCAAAGAGAGCCGTAAGGTGAGATGCGCAAGTAGTATGGAATATCAAGTCGAAGATAAGTATGACGGAGGTGAGAAGGGGGAACGTGGTGCAGAAGGCGAAGACAAGACAGATTGGAAATTGGATGCGAAATCGGACTTGGAAGCCACGAGAAAAAAGTTGGAGGTTATTGGCCGCGAGCTTGGACTCGTAAAGCTTAGCTGGGCTGATTGGTCTTCGTCGAGTGTATGGGAAGCAGATGACAATAGCGCGGAAGAGGATCGCAAATATTTCGGTCGATCGCTGGCACCGAGTTACCGATCTATGAGTGACCTCGAGAAAGCTTTTCTGTGGTACGCCGAGAACTTTCGTAGGCAGTATCGAGCGGCTTATCCTTGGCGCAAGCCTCTTCTACTCACCTGTTCCAATGAATGCGCTGTCCAGGTAAACTTCTCCAGTTTGCACTGCAAGCTTTTAGCCTTGTTTAGATTCTTTTTTTTGGCTGCTTATCATCACATGTACATAGAAAGTTTACTCAATACTAATTTTTTGTTTCAAAGTTGATTCATTCTATTATCTAATTAATTAATTATTATTTAATTTATTATAAGCAGATAAGCATTAAAATTGACAATAGTTTAAAAAATTATTGAATTTTCATTACAATTGATCTTAAAGAGGAATAATAATGTAATTTCATGAGCTAAAATTAAATTTAGGTTCGAGGATAAGGTAAATAGGAATTGTGATAGCAAATAATAAAGTCAGTAATATCTTTATATTTTCAGTATATTCTTTTAAATACTTTCGATTCTCACAACGTACAAAGGCAGTTTTGTATAGTTAATATATTCATTTATATATTTATTTGTATCATATAAAATAATCGGAACATAATAGTCGCTATGGACACAATCGCCATTGAAAAATCGAGCTGTGGGACCTCGTGCGCAGGTAACAATAATAGGAATGCACTTAAAAAAATGGGTTTGCACTTCCACTTGACTTCTGTGATTTTTTTTTATTATTTAAACTATTTAGATCGAATGACGCGCTCGTCATTGTATCAATTTTTCCAAAGTTGTTCGCTCTTATTAAACGAAACAAGAGTGAATTTCTGTAAGTCGCATGAAATTTTCATAGCAAAGAGTATTAAAGAGTACGATGACGATTAGTCGCGTTCTTACAATTATTCATCTACTTGTCGGAGCCTTTGGTTTCCTACCTCTTGGCACGCACGCACACAAACACACACACGCACGCACAATACGTACACATAAGCGCCGCATATTCATTAACGCACACCACGCTTTCGCCTTGGTTATCTCTGTTGGCGAAACTAAATACAAAATAAATGAAAAACAAAAAAGCTCGATATATATCTAAAAATTGACAATTACGAATTACGCTTCTATTCGCTTGTCGGTTTTCGAGACTTACAATCAAACAGTCTTATGTAAGAAAAAACTAATATGTAGGTAAAATCCTAGTGAGTAAGTATTCGCTAATTTGACGGAAAAGGAAAACTAATGCCAACTTTCGAAAGGCAACTAAAGTCATACATAAAAAGAAAACAAAAAAAGAAGAAAACGGAAAAAAACACTTTGGTTTCCGAGTCAACCTTACACCGGAGTTGCTCGATCATTCACAATATTCATATGACAATAATATTTGACAAGTCGCTCGTTCGCTCGTTCGCCTTTCCTTCCCGTCCAAATTGAGGATTCGATCAACAAAATATACCTAAATAACGCAAGCTGCCTTTTGTCGTTGGAATGTCGCATTTTGTCGGTTCTAATGCGTTTCATTATAAACATTTCACAGAAGTTTGTATCGACGGCGATAAGGCGAACGGTTCTCCCGTACGCAGAGCTGAGCACGTGGCAAGGCTGCGCAACTTTCGTGAGCGACTTGTTCGCCTACGAGCCGCTTGCCGCGCCTCTTCTCTTGGTAAGTTCAACCCATACACGGTACATTCCCCGAGTTTTTTTTTTTTCGAGTCGTCGCGGTCTCGTATAAATTTGCTCTATAATTCGGCTGGTAAGCAAGGCGGACGATTCCATGAGCGCGGGCGCGCGCGTCGCCGTCGTCGTAGTCGTCGTCTGCTACGCGGCTCGCTCTCCATCACAACTGGAGGCTCCATCTCTCGCTCTTTTTCAGCGCCGACGAGCGCGCGCACGTGCTTCGCTTTCGATTCGCGCATTAATATCATGCACGTGGCCGGGACGCAAGGTAGAGCGCGACCAGAATAGCGGGGAACGCACGCCGCTCCCGTCGAGAGGTCGCCGCGGTTTTCGTTTCTCTTCGGCTCTCGCCGCTCTTTGCTTCCGGCGTCGCGGTGTCTCCCGGCCGTCCTAAACAATGAGATCGAGCGCGCGCGCGAGTTTCAAATCCACGTTTTTGCACGTCATTTTATTTTCGTTCATTGCTCCCTCCCGCTTCCTCACTTAATTGTACGCGCGCGCGAGGCAGCGATATCACAAGATGTCATCGCTGAAGTGCCAGTTTTCGCGAGCGAATGGAAGTCGCGGTTGCCAGCGATGATCGATCGTCCGCGCGGTTCGCCTTTTGGGGAGGGACTAGTATTGGCTATGCAGTTGATTGCTCATTATGAGATTTAGCAGTAGCCCACACGTGGCTTTCTAATTTCAGAATCCGCGAGTCTCACAATGTCCCGACACATTGTTCGTTATTCCACTAATTCCGAGATAAAATTATTTCATAGCGAGCGAGAAACGAGGAAAAGACGAATTTAAAAAACAACAGGTTTTTTTACATCGCAGGAAAAGAATGTCTCGCTTATTAATATATATGTATATATATATACCTATGTGTCAGTCATTTTTTCATCTATTTACTAAATAGCGACTCAATGTGCTTATAGATATTTTTTTCAAAACAAAGAAAATGCGTTGCAAAATTAAAAAAATAGTAATTAATAAAACTGATTTATGAATTTCACTAAAAAAGGAGTTGATGCACCTTTATATACTTTTTAGACTCGAATAATATTAAATCTCATTTTCTATACTTATTATTTTTCTTTATTCAAATCTATAGCAACAACACTTAAATCTACATTTTTTTTTGTTCTACGACTCGGTAATCATCATAAATTACAATCACACGAATACAAGTCGAGATTTGGTTGATATTTAAAGTTTTTTGTCTTTATATACATATATATACATATACATATACATACATATATATATATACACACACATATATATATATATATCTTTATATACGAATATGTACAACGCCACTAAAGTAAAACTAATAATCCCTAACTAAATAATCGCTAAAATACGGAAGAGACTTGTCGCGCCTCACAAATATGAATTATGTATATCAACAAAGACGTGGGAGCAAGACAGAGAGAGCGAAAGAGAGCGAGAGAGAGAGAGAGAGCGAGAGAAAGGAGCGAGAAAAAAAAAAGCCAAGGGGAGGAGTGCAGGAGAGCAGAAACGATATATAAACTCGACGTTCGACCTATATTTCGCGCATGCTCTGGCTCTCCCTCCGTGGGCTTTTTCTCTCACAACCCCCCCATTCGGTAATTGGCGCACACCCGCGCTCTCGTCACACACGCACCCCCCCCCCTCCCGCGCGCTCTCTCTCTCCCCCCTCTGTCCGTTTCGTTCGCCTCTCTCCCTTTTTCACGCTTTCGCGCGCGCACGCACCTCTCGGTTGCTCTCTCGATCTGTTTTGGCGATTAAGTCGCGAAGAGCAACGTCGTCGTCGCCCACCCCCGCGCGCGCGCATCCAAGTCACAGTGACCGAAAGAAAAAGAGGAGCGCGGGCGCGCGCGCGCGCGGGGTCCCGAGAATATACATCGGCGAGCAAGAGGGAGAAAGATGATTGCTACAAAAGTATAACGCGAGGCAACTTGTTGCTCGCACAACACGTATATATGTATATATATTACAAATGGCTGTAAAAGCGTGTATGTATATATGAGGTGCGCCGTCCGTGCGCTCTCCGGGAGAGAAGCTGTCGCGCGCTTACGTTCGATAAAGTAATCACAGCACCATTGTTGTTCTTGCGATTCTACCGCGAGCGGAAGCGAGGGACTTATTACATGTAGAAAGTATAATACAAGAGGCGAGGACCGAAGTCGCGCTCAGTCGGGGGACTCGGTGTCTCGCGCGGTTTCGCTTTGCTTACTTGTAGATCGGCGACGGGATGCACTTGCGTTCCCTCCTCGGGACCGGTTCCGTCTTCCTCTCCAGGTTGTTCATCATGACGTTGATTTGGACGATGCTCGAGGCGCAGATGGCCGGGTCGCTGTACGACTGGAGCCACTTGGCGAACATCCGGCCGTGGTGCATGCCCTCCGCGAAACTCATGGTCCTCTGTTCGGCCGGCTGGACGCCGTCGGCCGCGGCCTGCAGGTTCAGGCTGGTGCGGGCGAGTTCGTTGTTGTTCATGCAGACCAGGCTCTCGACCAGTGCCCTGGCCTGGCTGGGCGAGGGTCGCTGCGACTGGTTCTTGGCCTTCTTCATGCTTTGCCGGCGCAGGGCCAGCTGCTCGGTGGCGAGCTTCCTCAGTCCCGCCGTGTCATTGAAGAAAAATCTAGAGGCGATGACCGTCGCGAACGCGCCGTAGTTCTTGCACAGCTCCCAGAACCAGAAGGGCGTCTCGGCCAGGTTGAGCGTTCTGTTTTGGCAGGCGAACTCCAGTTGCGTGAGAATCCAGGCGAGCGATTCCGGGGTGAGCACGTTGGGATCGAAGAACCCGTTGGCGCCGACGGGCATCTGGTTGTAATGGTAGAGCCGGGGCTGCTGTGGCTGCTGCTGGTGCACGGCTGCGGCCTCGCAGCGCCTCGGCGACAGCGGCACCGAGGCGTGGGGTGCCTCGGCGGCCGCCGGCAGCGACCTCCTGGAGGCTGCCGACTTGGACACGGAGGTGGGCGCGATCGCCGACGAAGTGGATGGACGCTTGAGGCTCCTGCCGTTCAACTGGGAGACGCTCTCCACGTACGACGACACTTGCTGCTGCTGCTGCTGCTGCAGGAGTTGCTGGTGGTGGTGTTGCTGCTGCTGCTGCAGTTGCTGGTGCTGCTGGGCTTGCGGCTGCTGGTGGTGGTGCGACTGCTGAGGCTGTTGCGACATGGACGAGGTGGAGGGCAGGGCGCCGATCTGCTGGCAGAGCATGGCCGCCTGGCTGGAGTTGCTGCTGCTGATCAGGCTATTCAGCAGGTTGATGTAGCTGGCGTTGAAGGCGCCGGTCACGTCGGAGGCGCTGGGCTGGCCGGCCGCGAGGTTCAGCGGCTGGGCCTCGTTGCGGCGCCGGCGCTTGGGTGCGCTGGTCGGATACTCGTCCTCGCTGCTGTGGGCAGAGCGCGCCGAGCGGGGACGGCGTCCGGAGGAGCTGGCGGGGCGGCCGCCGGAGGAGGCGGGCGAGGGCGCCGCGTCGCTGTCGGGGGTCGTGGACGCGTTGCGCGCCATGTTGCGGATCTTGTGCTCGGACTTGCACCAGCCGCGGAGCGTGCTCTCGGGCACGCCGATGTCTCGCGCCACGGAGGCCTTGCTCTCGCCCTCTCGCACCCGCTGGATGGCTTCCAGCTTGTCGTTGGCGGAGATGGAGCGAACGGAGCGCTTCTTGTCGTCGGCCGCGACCGCGGCGGCGGCCACGGCTGCTGCTTCGCCGCGCATGCCGATGAGGATCTGTTGTTGCACCTGAGCTCGGAAGCGTTGCTCCAGGTTAGCCGTCGTGGTTCGCTGCCGAGGGCGTTGGACCGGCACTGCGGGCTCGCCGATCGCCTGACTGGACTTGCCGATCTCGGCGTTTGGGTCTTGTCGAGGACGCGCGGTAGGCACCCGAACACACTGATGCTCGATGGCGAATGTTCACACACCGAACTGTTCGTTCAACTCAAACTGTCAATAGCGAAGTCGCACGGGACACTGTAGTAGCTCACACTGTAGGTACTAAGCAGCTCTGAACTCTTCGCTGTCTGGCGCTTCACTGGTCAAGGGCCCAGGCCGTTTTTGACTTATAGCCGCGGTGCGACTCAGAGAGAGAGAGACCGGAGTGGTCGCAGGAGTGGGGAGGGTTGCCGCCGCCGCCGCTGCTGCACAGCGTGTGATCGCAAAACGACGACACTGCCTCGGCGGCACGCTTTTACCGCTCCACGCTCTGCACACTGCTGCCCCGCAGATGCTTGCCTCTCTCTCTCTCTCTCTCACTCACTCTCTTTCTCGCTATCTCTCTCTCTTTCTCCCTCTTTCTCCCTCTCGATTTCACTTGGTCCAAAGGCTGCAGCCAGGCACATGCGCGCTCGCGCGGGGGGAAGTGCCAACTGCCGCTCGCTCTCTCTCTCTCTCTCTCTCTGTCTCTCTCTCGCGAGCGAGCGAGCGCGAGCGCCCACGGTAATAAAGAACTTTTTTATGAATGAAACACAACTCGACCCCCACTTGCAGCACCGTTGCACTATCTCTCTACGACTGCCGCGTATGCGCAATGTGCTTTTGCCGTGTGGCCGTCTCACGCTTGCTCTTGACTTGAGCTGCACTCTTCTAACCCTGAGATGCACCTCTCTCGCTCGCTCTCTCTCTCTCTCTCTCTCTCTCTCTCTCTCTCTCTCTCTCTCTCTCTCGCTCTCTCTCTCTCTCTCTCTCTCTCTCTCTCTCTCTCTCTCCGAGTAGCAGGTAGCGCGTGTGTGTATGTTGACTCGTACTACTGGCACTACCGCTGCACCGGCTTTCCGCAATTGCCCCCGAGCCGCGTCTCTCGCGGCGATTCGGAAATCGATTCCACTCTTTTTCCTCGCCGCGAGTGCGAAAAGTAAAAGCGCGACAGCCGGGGAAATTACGCGCGACGATCGTGCCTCTCTCTCTCTCTCCCTCTCCTCGACAGTGTAAATTTGGCACGCTGTCGTGTGTTGCAAACTCGTCGCTCGGGCGTTTATCGGCGCCACGAGCGAGCGAGCGAGCGAGCAAACGAGAGAGAGAAAAAAAAATGTATATTACTTATCGGCTTGATCTCGCGACGCGCTGTCCGCGAGCGGGGAAGGAATCTCCGACCGAGAAAAGCCCCTCTTGCGGACGAAACGCGCCCTTTGCTTTCGAGTAGGGGCGGGAGACGGCAGGTGGGGGAAGGCCGAGTTTTCCGGACGGAGAGAGAGCGCGAGTCCCCTCGCTTGACCACAATGTACAGTCGAAAAGCGAGACGCACGCGTCCGCGCGACAGGCAGGGAGCGCGGAAAAAAAATGAACGCGGGGTCACTTTTGCGCACGAGATGCTCTCGCGACGAGTCGCGACGCTCAACTGGCGCGACTGCTATACGCGACTCGCGGGCTGCCGAGGCTGGCTCGCGGTGTTCGCGGCTCTCGCGCGCGCGCTGCTGCTAGCTGGACGCCGGCGGTGCCTCGTTCCCGCCCGCCCGCCTTTACGCCTACCCGCGCCGCGCCGTCGCGCTCTCTCTCTCTCTCTCTCTCTCTCTCTCTCTCTCTCTCTCTCTCGCGCGCGCGCTCGTTCGCTCGCGTCGCTGCATGTGCGTGTGTATCCCTTGTTCGCGCGCGGCAGCAGCGACGAATAACGGCGGCGGTGGTCTCTTCTTAGTCTCTCTCTCTCTCTCACTCGCTCGCTCTTCCGGCGATCGAGCGCTCCGATGGCCTTTCCCCCCTTTTCGTGTAGCTCTCTCTCTCTCTCTCTTCCGTGCGAAGATGCAGATGCGGACGACCTTTTTTTTTTTTCGTCGGCTCGCGGCGATTTCGATCGATCGCTCGGGAGCAAGAGAGACAGCTCGCCCTGCCGCGGCTCGTACGTCCGCGTGACATTGGAAAGGTCAAACGTTGAGAAAAAAAATAATTAGCCATAAGTATATGAGGGCCGAGGTGTCCTCTGAAAGCGTATCAGGCCGGCAGCCGGCGCGCGCGTATATAGATGCCACGCTAATATCCGCGGCCCTCCTTTTGTTTTTCTCATCGTGGCACATATATATACCGTGTGCGCGCCGGGCGCCCGTACCGAGCGCCCGTTTTTGTGGAGATCGCGCGTGTGCGTGTGTTTCCCTCTACTACAGAAAGTAATCCCGCTGACTCGCGTTCGCGCGAAAGAGCCTTCGACGCTCTCCTCGTTTCTCTCTCTCTCTCTGACTTTTTTTCTCTTCCGTATATCTATCTCGCTCGCGCGCTCGATCGTCCTCTTTCTCTCTGTACCGACGCTTCTTCTCTCTCTCTCCCTCTCTCTCTCTTTTTTTTTCGTTTTGGCAGTAGCTCGCGGGCTCGAATTAAAGAGAACGCGCGCTGGGCGAACTGCCGCGCCGCGCGGGACGACCGAGCGGATAGATATAGAAAGAGAAGCCGCGCCGAGTCGAGTATCTATATAGAGACAGAGGAGAGAAAAAAAGCCCGAGAGAGAGAGAGAGACGACACGGAAAGTATTAGGACCGGCTGTGCGTTCGTTTCGCGACGCGCGTCGGTGACTCAGTCACCCTGATTGTTACTCTCTCTCTCTCTCTCTCTCGCTGTGTGTAACTGCCTGCGTCGCGAGAGCTCGTTTTCGTCGCGCGCGCTGATGACGGCATTGTTTTTCGCACGCGATATATATATATATATATATATATACACACACACCCGCCTCTCTCTCTCTCTCTCTCTCTCTCTCTCTCTCTCTCTCTCTCTCTCTCTCTCTCTCAACCTACATCGCGAAAACGCTGCTGGTCAAAACCTCTTATCATGTTTATTTACTCACATGCGCTCTTTTTTCCTCGATCGAGTTCATCGCGACGAAGCTACATGCGTACCCGCGCGCTCGCCTTCTCGGCAGATAATCGCGCCCGGCGTCGCCGTCCACTGTCGTTTCGTCAATTATCCCCGCGGCATATAAATACACGCCGCGGCGAGCGCGGCGTGATCTATTACGGCGATTAGTCCGAGGAGCCGGTGGCGAAGGGGGGGGGGGGGCCTCGCTCGCGAAACCGGAAAACGCGATTTATGGATTTTAATCGGCGAAGCCATTCTCCCTCGTCAGCCGGCAGGCGTCGGTGTTTTGATTGCGCTCGCCCGGCCATCGATTCGGCGTGCTCGCGGATCGCCGTCCGTATACGCGGGCGTCGCGCGCAGTCCGGCGTGGAACCTCGCGCGCGGCTATGCGGGCTCCCTTCGCGTCCCGCCGCAAGGAGCGAACGACGCGCCGCGGGGCTGCGCGTCCGTCGATACAATCGTATTTCTCGTGGTCGTTGTAAAAGCGCCCCGGCAATAATAATATTGAGCTGGCCCGCGACGAGATGCCCGACGATGAACAAAAGGACAAAGGGAAAATTCGGGTTTTACCTGGGCAACTTATAAGCTGGCCAATTTAAATTGCATTCTAATCTGTAGCCGATTGGGACGGCAGACTTTCGAAAATATTAAAGATAAGTTGGGTCCTCGGGAATTTAAGCATAACGTCCATTAAACTGATTTAGGGTTCAGCCGAGTGTGACTGCTTGACTTTTGTATCACGGACGTAAGGCACATCTCGTAAAAGTGAGACAAGATCGAGGGATCTGGGCCGTACTATTGTACAACGGTACCTATATCAGAACATTTTAACTACAGTTTCGTATAAGCCCGTCGTCGCCAAGGTTCGCTACCTGTTAGCTTTCGGTGGGCGGCGAACCTATTTACTTCAAATCCTTCAAGTGCCATTTATTGACTCATAAATGACGGCTATTGTTCATTGCGTGCACCCTTCGCGAGAAGCTTCTCGAGAGAGAGTTCGGGTGCAAGGCTAAATTGTCTAGGCGTCAGGGGAAGTTTATACAAATACGCGACAGCGGGCCTCAGGTAGTCGCAGAAAAATCCCTTTCTAATTTTAAGACTTCCGCGGAGAGTTTGCGAGGATACTGCCTGCCTCTGTGCTCTTCTTGGCGTCCATCGAACGAAAATATTCGTATCGACAATTCTGCAGTCGAAATTTTCTGTCGAGTGGATGCAATATCAATAACGTCAATTAACGATGTCTCTGCGAACGCCCAAAAATCAACACTTCTCGCGTGGTCGCAGTCTCGAACGCTTGGCTTTCCCACCTCTCAAGCACAATCGACGCAGCTCTCCTTGGCTTGGTAGTTTGTCCCTCCGGCCCCAAATGTTAAGATGTCGCTTCAAACATCGACACGAAAATGAAAAAACCATTCGAGGATGTACGATTCGACTACGATAAATTCCATCTTCGAACCACCTTATCTTGCATAGCTTTTGTTACATGGCCATTCGACTGTTCAAAATGTTAGTCTATTAGATCGTCAATTGCATGGAACGCTAGAATAATCGCCAACTTTGTGGCCTTTGTTCGGACGGTGGCGTCATGATTACTCGGTTTGTTAATTAGCGGCCATATTATTAAGCATTTCGATAAAACGTTGTTAATAACTGTTGCTTGAACAGTTTGAGGACGTGTTACGACCCTTCTCTAAATGTACATCGAGCACAGGGAAATGTAAAACTTTCGCCTGCCCGGTGACGCCACCCATAAGTGCAACAACGTTCGGAAACGTACATGACACGATAATTTAGTATTATACAATTGATTCGCGTGTGGCTCGTTTCACGAAGCCAATTATCGTATAGAAATATCTGTTTTAGAACGTTCAAATGCAAATTTGTCAAAGTTTACGATAAAACGTGATTTCTTTTATTTATTTTTTTATAATCGACTTCATCAACAAGCTTACAATTGAATCGACGCAATAGTAGAATATTAAATTATCGAGTTTTGTACTTTTTCAAGTGTTGCTATATACGATCGTGTTAAATCTAGGGCGAGAATTGTGCGGATACCTTGAGGACGCTCTCGTGTAAAGATTTTCAAACAACTTGGAAAAATTCGCTGCACTTGTTTTACTCGCTCGTAAGATACTAATTACTGATAAATTACAAAAAAAATTTTTAAGGATTTTGTCTATAGTATTTTCTTTCTTATAGTCTTTTCCAAAGATCGATATGTGCCCTCAGAAAAATTTCAACAAGTGTTGTCGAAAGTGAAATCACAACGCAAAAATTTTCCATGTTTTAACAACTTTCTATTTATTTAACAGTGGTATCTATTTAGGATTCACTAATCTTCATTTTTTTCAAATTCGTAAAATTCTAAAGAAGCTTTCCATGTGCATTTTCATAAATAAAATAAAAGTAATTACTTCTTACAGGATAATACACAGTAAGCGTGTAAAAACGTAGGCAATAATGACTTTTGAAAAGTTATAAGCTATACGGTTGCTAAGAAGCCATGTCGCGTTATTATGCCCTTTTACGAAATCATTCCTATAATTTTTTTTTATAAATATTATCGTATCAATATTCACACACATAGAAAGCATCTTGAGAAAATCGAGATTCGTACGATCTTGAATAAGCCTGTTAAAAATATATTCGTGTGTATTTTTGAAAATAAAATGAAAAAAACTCACTGCTCATAGGAAAATACAGCAAAAAACTAAATTTGCTTGCGCTTCAGTTGTCGATTCACGTGAAAAATTTATTTCGAAACTCAAAATTGAAACATCTCGGATTGACAAACGTATTAAACAATAGGGAACGATATTTTTCGAAATGTTTTTTTTTTCAAATAACCTATTCGATTGTTAAGAAATTCGCTGTTACACCCTTCTACTAAATAAATCCTATAGTTTTTTTATAAATATTAACGTGTAAAAATTGAGGCACACATTATTAGGTTTTTGAAAAGCAATGTATTATCAAAAAAAGTTTTCAATTTCGAGAAATTGTTCGAGGTTTCTCCATCGAAGTTGCTTGACTCTTGAGGTTTCCATTTCTTCTGAAAAAACAAAAGTAGATACGGATTTTAGGAAAAGACTATAGGATATAGGAAAGTAGATAGTACGGGGAATATTTAAAAAAATGTTAGCTTCAATTTATCAGTAATTTTCCTCTTGCGAGCGAGTAGACACGCCGAGAATTTTTCCACGTGTCAATTCTGGTTAGAAGTTGCTTGTACAGCACAAAGTCCTTTGGTGTCGGGAATTGAAACGGCGATATTACACAAAGCCATAAATAACTTAACATTTTGTGGGAAAACCGGACAATTAACGTACCCTATTTTCCTTAAAACCAAATGGTGAAAACGTGAGAGGTCCGTTGCCTGTGATATATTGCTTGCTCTCCAATATGATTGTTATTATATTTTACCTAATGATATCTATGAGCTGCATCTTCCAGACAGTCACTCCGTCAGGTATATTGTTAATGACCGGTCACCCGAGCCTATGTTAACCTTCTATCAGGGTTTGCCATTAAGCCCCTACCGTTTT